ATTTTGCCGGGCAGGCGGTTCCGCAAAATTTGGTCCAATCCTTTTCGTTGCTTCGAGCTTGGAATCAACAGATAAACAGACATGAAGACACAGCCGCAGGAGCAGGAAATGACAGCAGGGAGGATTGGACCAAATTTTTCCGAACAGTTTGTCCCAAAAAATTTTGCTCCAATCCTTTCCTTTGCTTGTGGCTTGGAGCCAAAAGCTAAAGAGAACTGGCTACACAGCCCCAGGAGCAGGAAATGACAGCAGGGAGGATTGGACCAAATTTTGCCGAACAATTTGTCCCAAAAAATTTGCTCCAATCCTTTCCTTTGCTTGTGGCTTGGAGCCAAAAGCTAAAGAGAACTGGCTACACAGCCCGAGGAGCAGGAAATGACAGCAGGGACGATTGGACCAAATTTTGCCGGGCAGGCGGTTCCGCAAAATTTGGTTCAATCCTTTTCGTTGCTTCGGGCTTGGAATCAACAGATAAACAGACATGAACACACAGCCGCAGGAGCAGGAAATGACAGCAGGGAGGATTGGACCAAATTTTGCCGGGCAGGCGGTTCTGCAAAATTTGGTCCAATCCTTTCCTTTGCTTGTGGCTTGGAATCAACAGATAAACAGACATGAATACACAGCCGCAGGAGCAGGAAATGACAGCAGGGAGGATTGGACCAAATTTTGCCGAACAATTTGTCCCAAAAAATTTGCTCCAATCCTTTCCTTTGCTTGTGGCTTGGAGCCAAAAGCTAAAGAGAACTGGCTACACAGCCGCAGGAGCAGGAAATGACAGCAGGGAGGATTGGACCAAATTTTGCTGGGCAGGGGGTTCCGCAAAATTTGGTCCAATCCTTTTCGTTGCTTGGGGCTTGGAATCAACAGATAAACAGACATGAATACACAGCCGCAGGAGCAGGAAATGACAGCAGGGAGGATTGGACCAAATTTTGCCGGGCAGGCGGTTCCCCAAAATTTGGTCCAATCCTGTTTGCACGTGTGACATGGCGGACGTGTTTAAGTTTATGCGGATGTCTCCGCTTGTGTATTGTGTGTTTGTACATTACACATCATAACATCGATCCGTATATATACATATGGGAATTGTGCGCGTGCATACGTACAGACTAGCGTGTCAATCACAGTTGCGACATGTCTGAGAGGAACCGCACTTATCAGAACCAATGGAGGAAAAAACGAGAAGTAAAACACAAGGACAAACAAGGGGCAGTTGGGAAGCGGCCGATGCAGCCACAACCCGCCTGCGGCCGATAACAGCCACAGGCACCCGAGGCGGCCGATACAGCCACAACGGGGAGATCAAACAAAACAAACACAGTAAGGCGTCGACCAAATGTCAATGTTGTCCATGTTCTCGATGGTCTGCAATCAGCACTGGTCATTAGTAATATCGACACTATACGGTTTAAGAGCTACAGAATATGCAATTCATTGCCACAGAGATTGCTACCCTTGGCTCTGGAAAAACTAGCAAACCATTAAATTTTTAAAAAATCTTTAAAATCTTTAAAATTTAAATGGCCGGCCAATTAATTTTTAAGGATTTTTAAAATTTTAATGGCCTTAAATTCTTTAAAATCCTTAAAATTTAAATGGGCCAAGGTTTGGGCTTTGGAAAAGTTAGCAAACCATTAAATTTTTAAAAATCTTTAAAATCTTTAAAATTTAAATGGCCGGCAAATTAATTTTTAAGGATTTTTAAAAATTTAATGGCCTTAAATTCTTTAAAGTTTAATTGGCCGGCCAATTAATTTTTAAGGATTTTTAAAATTTTAATGGCCTTAAATTCTTTAAAATCCTTAAAATTTAAATGGGCCAAGGTTTGGGCTTTGGAAAAGTTAGCAAACCATTAAATTTTTAAAAATTTTTAAAATCTTTAAAATTTAATTGGCCGGCCAATTATTTTTTTAAGGATTTTTAAAAATTTAATGGCCTTAAATTCTTTAAAATCCTTAAAAATTAATTGGCCGGCCAATTAAATTTTAAAGATTTTAAGGCCATTAAAATTTTAAAAATCCTTAAAAATTAATTGGCCGGCCAATTAAATTTTAAAGATTTTAAAGATTTTTAAAAATTTAATGGTTTGCTAACTTTTCCAAAGCCCAAACCTTGGCCCATTTAAATTTTAAGCATTTTAAAGATTTTAAGGCCATTAAAATTTTGAAAATCCTTAAAAATTAATTGGCCGGCCAATTAAATTTTAAAGATTTTAAGGCCATTAAAATTTTGAAAATCCTTAAAAATTAATTGGCCGGCCAATTAAATTTTAAAGATTTTAGAAGCCATTAAATGTTGAAAATTTTTGAAACTTGATACCGATCTCTGTGGCAAAGAATTATAACAACCAAGCCGAATGCCAAATAGAGCATAAAGGTCCTACGTACAAACCCCTAAACCCCTAAACCCCTAAACCCCTAAGGTATGCTGGTTGGTTTTGGGGAGTCTCTGTGTAGGCCTTGGAGCTTCGACCCCTAAACCCTTACCTCAACCCCACTTGGAGGCCCTTTTGACTTAGTAAGTAAGGGTTCCTTTAAAGGGGTCCTAAAAGGGATCTATAGGGGTTCCTTAAAGGGATCTATAGGGTTTAGGGTTTCTTACTTGGAGGCCCTTTTGGGTTAGTAAGGTGGGTTATGGGGATTATAATAGGGTTTCTAGGGGATACTAAGTAGACTTACTAAGTCAAAAGGGCCTCCAAGCAATGCTTCCCTTTCGCAGGACGTGTACAAGGAAAGTAGAGTAGCGGTCCCTAAACAAGGTGGGGTCCATAGGGTCCCAGTAGAACCTAATGGCTTTGGTTTTCTGAACATGTATGTGAGGTGTTATGCTTCTTCGGAGGTCCACTGGGTTTTCATATGAATGTATAGTTTGGGGTGTTGCAAACGTTTACGGGTTGCGGTGAGGATGTGCTTGAAGGCTATGAGATTTGCTGGACAGAGTTAAATCAGTATGTAGATGTGCTATGTAGTGTAGTTCCATAAGGGCGGACTTGTAGAACTCGTCCTGCGTATAGCGTACTTGGAGGATCATGGGACTTGTAAGTAAGGTCCGAGGGACCCTAATTGGGATTTTTATTGTAGTTCCTGTAAAAAGAAGCCTACTTACTCAATCCCATGACCCTCTAAGTAAGAAGTCTCCCCATCGCTCTTGGAGCTTGGGTTTAGAGTCTGGCAGTGGGTGTTGGGGTTCCGGGTTTCGGGTTTCTGACCGGCAACTAAGTTTCTGAGTGATTACCTGGGTTGGGGTTATCTTGTATGTACAACCTGTCAGCAGCTTATCGTGGAACGATCACCGGTAATTTTTGCTTGCAGCTTCCGGGTATCTTAAGCTCCGGCAATGGCACTTCCGCGTTCGGGGAGTGGGATTTAGGCTTAGGGGTTCAGGGTTTTGGTCCTCGACTTATCGTCGTCTATACCAAACGGAGATACTGTGCACAGCAACCTCGTAGGTTAAACACGTCGCCTGGGCCAACAAAGCTACCACCCTCAATCACACCCAGAATCGTAAAAGCGGAGCTCAAACTGGAATCTTCCAAGCCAGGGGCCCTTGGATTGCGGCTGGTCGTTTTATCATTTGCAGACCACACGTATCCGCACCACAAGTATTTGCACGGCTCGCATCACATCCGCACTTGATGGACCGAGAACGCCGAAGCTGCGTTAATCCGTTCTCATGTCAAACCTTTGATGCTGGGACTTGAGGGAATATGACGCTGGCAGATGTCGCGGCTCTATCTCGTAATTTGCTGGCAGTAGCTACGTCCAGTGCGCAGAACGTCACTTGGAGCCAGTTATGTTTCTTGGCCTGGGGAAGTCCTAGTCCCTCCTAGCAGGGCTTGGACTCTTACATAAACATTGAAACCATAGTCGAAGTGGGGGCGGTGCATGCTTCGTGTTTCAGGGGCTTAAACTACAGTTTGAAGGTTGTTGCTAGCGGCGACATTCGTGACCTCGTTGGTACAAGGCGGGACGATAATGTCCACCTGGCCTTTCATGATGATACAGTCTTGTATGCTCAACAGCAGCGGGGGCGTGGGTACAATTGACATACACGTTCATATGTGCTAGTAACATGGATCACGTGCAAGGCCTTATCGTCCTTTACGGCTACTAGGTCATGTTAAATGCTGTTGGCGAAACCCTGGACTCTCAATGAAGCCATGAGGTCGACACTGGCAACGCGTCGCAGGGAGTTCTTGAAGCTTGACTATGGGTCCTTCTGAAGAGGGTCCGAGAATTTAATCGTCAATTGCGCATCTATGAATTGCTCCACAATGTTTCCAACAAATAATCTGGGACCGGAGTGTGTGCATTTGCACATGTTGGGATGTATCGCGGGCATCGCAATACACATAATACGAGCCTGCACGGTGCCAGCCGAACTTCATGCCTGACAAGAACTTCTCACACCACGACTGGTCGCTATGTGTGAGCACAGTCTTGACCACTTGGTCCATGCTTGCGGCCACCGAAGAGGTGCAGTTGTGTGCATCAGTTGCATGAACCCTCGGGGTGGCCTTGACCATGACTCCCAAAGACTACACGGTTCGTGCCCCGAAGTGTTTAAGACCCTGCCGGTAGCGCACGGTTTCGCTGAACAAAAGCATCCATCCGCATCCTCAGCTGAATCCTTATACTACTGCTATTTCAACCTGATGAATGCCTACAACCAGTCGCAGGAGGCCTAGGTTCTCTTTCGATTCGAGGAGCTGATTGCTTAGCCTTCAATCGGTTGAAACAGTTCGGATCCCACATGCAGCCGAAGATGTGAATACGATGTGTCTGAATAACTAGTAATACAACGGGATCCGAAATTTGTTCTGTCAAGTTTTAGTTTTATGTAACATAGGTTTGAAACAAATATGACAGCGTTGCGCAAGGTTGTCTAAGGGTGTCAACGGTGCGTGGGGGCCACTTTTTCAGATCTGTATATTGCGACGGACCCAGCGACTCCACTTATAGGTTGCTTATTTAGACTCCTGATCCGTGGATGTAGAGGCGGCGGTGATGAGCCTGGACTTTGATACCTCCTCCCTGCTGATTGCCTTTGTGGCTCGGCTTCTGATCAATTCCAGTCTAGGCGCCGTGCGGCCATTTTCGTTTGTGTGATACAAGCATATTAAATTTAGATTTATTTTGACATGCTGTCATGGACGTCAGAGGGGTGCCACAGCGCGTTGATGCGGTCTGGAGGCAGGAGCAAGAGCAAAAGCAAGAGCAGCAGAAACAAAACATTTTCGGAGTCTTTCGCTGAGAAGGCGGGCCGTTTAACATAAGAGGAAAGGGACAATGCATGCGTACATTCTTTTACTATGCGTACATACATACATACGTAATACAAGTCATGACACAATCACAACATGTCGTATGCATTGTATCAGTACTATGTGCGTGGATCGTATACAGATTTTCTGCATCCAGCATGCCATTGACACTGCTGCGGTCCCGGTCAAGTGTCAAAGCACAGTTTCAAGAATGCTGTGCCCAGCATCAGGTAGGGCTTAAAAGGATGTTGCAAGCGAAAGCTCCAGTAGCCTTGCCGGCACAGTGGGTAAAACATCCCGGAGACAAGCTGTCTTAAATTAGGAAGTAAATCAACGCTGATCAGTTATTGCCACTGTTTGCTTACATCGCATTAAATGGGCATTGTCTACTAGCTGCTTTGACATTCATGTGTAACTGAATATAGAAAGTGAGCAAAATGCCAAAATCAGTCAGGAAGCTGAACGCTGGCCATATAACTTTAAGATTTCATCCAATTCAATGGGCATCTAACTCTATTTGCTGTAAAACTCATCCGTAACCTTACTACAACTGCGTGTCAGCATCAGCCAGGTTCTGAATGTGGAAGCATAACACATCTTATCGTTCTGTCAAAATACAATATCCTGTTTTGGGTGACAATTCGACGATACTGGACGTTCTTGCATTTTTGTTACTCGTGATTTTAAACAGTGATGAGGTAACCGGCAAGGCTTAAGCAAGCGAATATTGATTATACGCTAGTCTAGAAGATGGGAACGGGACGGACATACCTTGTGAGTACTGAACCACAAACAACTTAAGCTCAATGGTTCGATTCTCAATTATTTGCATATTCGGCTATCATTGGTCCACATGTGCCGACAAGTTAAGAGAACCGGTCATCGAATTCGATGTCCAGTACCGACCTTTGACAGACGGTCTCATTACATCGGTCTAGTACCGTCGGGTATTGATACAGAAAGCAAAAACTCTGAGGTGCTGCTGGGTAAGTGGCTGGAGTGCCGCGCGCCGCTTCGCTCAACCTCCAAATGCCTTGCGATTAAGGTTGATGGGTCGTGGTACAGGCTCCATCTTGCAGGCATAAGGGTGCAGGAGTTAAGTGTTTCGGTTCTCGCTTAGCGGTCAGGAATGAATACCCTAAACCCCCTAACTCCTCAGAGGGTACGGGGCACTGACCGTTCTTGGGACCAGCCCTGCCCTGCAGTGCGTTTTGTGAGGTTTAGGTTGAGGGCGCGGAAGATGAGGCACTGGTACTCCGATAGAGGAGACCCTAAGTGGTACCGTCTATCCAAAAAAAGGACCCCCCCCCCAATACGGTTGAGGGGTTCGCTTCAAGGCCAAGGGTTTAGGGTTCATGGGTAGTGAATGTAGACCCCTTGATGAACAAACTGTGCCGACTCTCCCATTGATTAGATCCGCCCCTAAGGATAAAGACACTTACCCAAACTTTCGGGAAGATCCAAAAAGTAGATCCCTCAATGGGGGTTCCTATCAAGTACCCTTAGCAGTACAGGGCCCCGAGTTAGGGGATCTGCTTTCTAGATCCTCCAAGGGGGTCTGGGTATTGGGGGATGTTAGAGCAAGAGCAAAAGCAGGAGCAACAGCAAGCGCTGCAGTAGGAGCTGAAGCAGGAGTATAGTAGAAGCCAGAAAGTTGGAACATCATTCTCCTGATGCCCCTAAAGTAAAGTATAGGGAATCCCAGCATGAATCCTCCTACACCCATGTTCCAACTTTCTGGGTTTCACTATAAGAGCCAGAATGGAAGCAAGGGCCGGAGCAGGAGCACCTTCCTCCCCAATGTGACACTAGGGAAGCATGCCCCCTGACGATCAAAGCACGTTTTCGAGTTTTGCGGATGGGGTGTGGGGAGGGGGGCGGCTTAATCCTCGGGGAAGGGTTTAGTGGGCCCTGACAGAAAGCGTGTTGATGAATCAGCGGTCTAGACTGAGGGTTAGAGTTTCATTCGCGATGCGCTGGCGGTGTGGCCTGTAGCCAGGAACCATAACTAGGAGTCCAGAGGTCTGAGCCAGCACGGATTTCGGGTTGAACAGAGGCTCCTGTTCTAGCTTTTGGGGTTTCGGGTAAGGGTCCATGGTCTAGGGAGGGTCCAGGCATTGAGGGCTTCGCAGGAGTATGCAATATCCTTACAACAATTAGACTGTAAGTTCCCCTGCGTCAGCGCCAAATCCGCAATGTGAAACGGAGGTTCGGTAGCTGAGGGGTTGGGCTTAGGGTTGACAGCTGTTCTGAAGGCCGCAGGTGCAAGATAGGGTCTAGAGGATTGGTCACATGCAGTATCTCTTCTAGGACCTAGAGTAGGCCCTTATGCCCTTTTTTGGGGTTCAGGTTCCCTTATAAGCCCCTTTAAACCAAAAAGGGCACCCTTTTTATTCCTAGGTTACTCTTAGGCCTAGTCTTGTAGTTCCCTGTAGTACGATACGCCCACGAAGCCCTATTCTAAAAGTCCGCATCTGAGTTCCCAACCCCATTTGTCGAGGACCTGCGAAACAGGCATGGAGTAAAGCCACTGAAACATCAAGTTCCCTAAACTTGTTCTAAGGCCCTTTGAATCGAGGAACATTTAAAGCTTCCCTCAAAGGAAGGGTTCTATGTACCGAGATAGTAGAATGTTGGGTTTCCATATTAGGAAATTGCTATTATGCTAAACCCTAAACCCTAGACCGACCCTTTGGGCTCAAAGGAAGGGCATTTGGGGTCTTGAAAACGAGAATCCTATTAAGGATTTAATAAGGCTCACTTGAGGAAGTATAGTCCCCTATCCCCCCCCCCCCCCCCCCTGCGCCCCTGCCCTCCAAGGGCCCCTATTGGTTTGGGCTCCAAGGAAGGGCAGTTGGGGTCCACACAAGAAGGATCCTAGTCTTTAGGATACTAAAACCCTAAACCCCGAAACCCTAAACCCCTAAACCGCTAAACCCTAAACCCCAAACCCTCAACCCTAAACCCTAAACGCTATGTGAAGCTTCCCTGAAAGGAAGGGCAGCACTGGCGACGCCATCACCGCGTTGCTCTCCCTGCAGCCGCAGACTGCCCTCCTGGTACGGGAGCGGCTTTCTTTGGAGTTTAGATCTTGGGTTTCTTTTGAGTTTGGAGTTTAGGCTTTACGGTTTTGGGTTTCTTTGGAGTTTGGGGTTTTGGGAAAGTCTAGTATTTGAGGCTGTTCTCTTGTGCGATGTAGAGTTGGAGCAGAGGTTTTAGGGAACATTCATGTTTATGGATCGTTGTCCTTCTTGGATTCAGGGTTTGGGGTTTTGGACTTTCTTGTCGACGGGCTTTTAAATCAGGTTTTCTTTCGTTTGTTTTTGCTCGTAATGGTGTCCGTGTCTTCGGGGATCTTTTATATCGGCCCTTATAGAGAAGCAAAAGCCCTTTCGGGGGGTTTTGCTAAGTCCAGGATCCTTCCAGCAGGCAGGTTGTCGTGCTTGTGCGTCTGCTGGGCTTTGGAGTTTTGGGCTTGCTTGGAGGATCGTGGAACTTAGAAGCTAGGATTCAACATACGGCAACTCTTGTTATAGTTTCTGATACAACTCTAACATTGGTGCTTATAACCTTACTCACTAAGTCACGGGACCCTCCAAGCAGTCTGACAACACTTCTTCAGTCTTTCTAGCTAAGCCGTGCTTCCTACTGAGCTTCCTTACTGAATCCTTCGATCCTGCGAGAAGACCCAATTAAACCATAGTATTTACTATAGATCCCTATCGCGGTAACTTAAACTTAAACGCTAAACTCTTAAAGGAGCCCTGATAGATCCCCTTTGAAAGTAACTTAAGCTAAATCTCTTACAACTGTTGATGATATAAATCCTGCATCACCCACAATACGGAAAAAACATAATTCCCATAGTTTAGGGTCCGTAAGGTAATGCAGGACGTATATCATCAACCCTGAACCCTAAACCCCCTATAGATCCCTTAAAGGAACCCCTTCGAGTTACCCTTATAGATCCCTTTAAAGGGAGCCAGGATTTATATGATCAACCGAAGAACCCCTGACAGCCCTGAAGCCATGGCCATGGCCAGGCTCCCAAACTGCAGGATTCCTAGGATGCCCAGTAGTACCCTGATTCCCTTTTTGTAGTCCTAGGTTCCTTATAAAGTTACCCAATACCAAAAAGAGAGGCCTTTTTATTCTTGGGTTACTGGGTATCCTGGATGCGCAGTATTTTCATAATACGTGCACTTCTAAACAAGTCTTCAAGGGTTTAGGGTTTATGGAATCTTCAAACTTGGCGTTCTTCTGGTTGGCTCTTTAGACTTTAACTTTTTGGATTTCTATTTGAACTATAATAAGGAGGCTAAAAGTTTAACTTTTAGGAGAGGTTCAGAAGTCAGCCAAGCAAAGGTTCTTGTGAAGGGATTTAATTTCAGGTACCATATTAGGGATCTACAGTAGATAGTATGGTTTCTGTATTCGGGTAACTCAAGTCAAACCCCTTAACAAGAACCCAGCTTTTGTCCCAGAAGCGTAGCTGCTTGACTTTAATGAGTTCTAGATACAGTGACTGCGAGATTCAGGTACCCTGAATCTGCAAGCAACTACACTCCCGAAACGTTCCAAATGCTATTTGCCAAACCCCAAACCCCTGATGAGCCCAGATCGTGGTTCCCAGCCCTTCGAGGAAAATGGGGGTTTGGCAAAGCGATATATAGATACTTAGATAGAGTTTAGTTTATGTCTGAGCGAGTTGCAAGTTCCTTCAGCTTACGCTGCGGCCTAGGAGTGTTTATGAGTTTGAGGAATAAAGACAACAAAACCTGCTTGCTAAGTCCCCACTGAGGTGCCTAAACTCTAAAACCTCCTCCCCCAGCCCACCCGCCCGAAGAATGTGGAATTCGCATGAAAAGACACTATGAGGAGCCTCCATGTCCAGACCACATAGATGATCCATGCAATTCGACATAGGAGTGCCCTCATGAAGGGCCTCTTTAGGCTCTCCCGAATGGCGCAACCCGGACCCCCTGGGAGGATCCAACAAGTAGATCCCTTAAGGGCGTTCCTGTCGAGTATCCTGGTCCCAAATTAGGGGATCTACTTTTCAGATCCTCCCAAGGTAAAGAAAAAAACCATAAAGCCTCATAAAAGAGCTGTTCGCGGAAACCGTCTAGTTCCCGTAAAAGAGCCCTGAAGGTCTGAATCAAGCCCCGGGTAGACCGGATTGCCAGCTTCGCGAGGAGGATGGTTCCGGTCGCGAACGATATGCCCCTTTACACGGCACTGATGTTGTAAGGTGAGACAGCAGGTATACAATAACCCTAAACCCTGAACCCTTAAGGACCCCAGGGTGAAGGGCCCGTAGACTCTTCGTGCATAGATGAAGGCCCCCAGGATCGACCCTGCTGTTAGGTTGTTCGGGGGGTTTAGGGTTTAGGGGGGTTTAGGGGCTCAAAGTTGTGAGCTCCAAAGTGTGCATCGGCAGCATCCAGTGTAGACTGAAATGACGTCAAGAGATGCCTAAACCCTAAACCCTAAACTACAGGCCCTAAACCCGGGGCCATAACCCTACTTAGAGGATCATGGGACTTTACTGATAGCCCTAGTTACTAAGTCCTATGATCCTGCAAGCAAACCCCTAAATCCTAAACCCTGGTCAGTTCTTCGGCTTTCGCATCGGGGAGATCTTTCGTCTGAGCCCATGTAGGGTCGTAGCTTAAGGCCCTTTAAAGGGCTCGAGCAGGCTTGCATTAACGGTCCCTTTGAAGGGTTCCATAAAGGTTTAGACTTTGGGGCTACTGGGAGGAGAGCCCATGTACCATAGAAGCCTAAATGATGACCAAGATTATTCCTTAGGGCTCCTTATTGTAACTATACAAAAGAGCCCAAAGCCCTATTCTGAGTAAGAAGGCTCCTACAGGAGGGTCGTAGTCCAGGTTACGATACCTATAGGCCGCGGAGCTGTGGTAAGTAGTGTCGTGCTGCGGTTGTCTGATATTCTTGTTGCAGATATTTTTAGGATTGTCGGGGCCCAGAAGGCTTTACATGGTTCTGCGTGGGTTTGGGATTGGTCTAGAGTTCAGGGCTTGGGGTCAGAGACGCGTCGGCCAGCGGTCTTGGAGCGAACAGGCATGACCCGGCTCACGCCGAAGACTTTCAAACTGTCGTTGACGATGTGAGACGATCTTTATGGCGAGGGCCTGTCGAAGGCTGAGCTGGAGAGGTCAAGTGAACTTTGGTGCTCTCATCACCGAGGAGCTCCAGAAGTTGGGGGCGAGCGGGACGCTCAAGTTCACATGCCATGAGCTTGACCTGGGCAGTCAGACCGCAACATTCCACAAGGGGCAGAAGCTAATTGCTCGATTGCGCATGATTTCCGGGAAGCTCACCGTTGAGCAAGCGGCTGGAATTGTTTTTGCCGTCCGCCACACTCCTATCCTGAGGACTGCCGTGACAAGCATCCTCGCCAGTCGCTTTCACCGGGTGCGAAGCGAGAGTTCTTCGATGCGAAGACGGCCTTCTAAAATCCCTTTCTTCTTGTTATAGGATTGTTTGTGCGAGGAGGCGTTTTTTAGATTTAAGAATGCGCTGCTAGCGCAGTGACATCTCAGCCCAGCTAACTCAAAACCGAAACCCTAACCCTCACCCGAAACTCGAAGCCCTGAACCTCGAACCGAAACCCTAGAACCTCAACCGAAGCTCGGAGCCGTAAACCCTCAATCGAAACTCGAAGCCTTAACTCCTAAACCCAAGCCCTATACCTTTGTCATTGTTGGGTAACATTTTACATTTTTATGGGTACTTAAACCCAATAAGGAATAAAAATATGCATTTTTTATCCTATCTCAACAATGAACTAGATACCGTAAACCGAAACCCTAGAGCTTGAACCAAAACTGGACCTGGACCCTAAACACAAACCCTACACCTTCATCGAAACTCAACGCCCTAAACCGTAAATCCCGTTTGCCGAGTTTCTGCCCTGAAACCTTAAACCCTAAAGTCATTAAAACCCCTAAACCCTAAAGCCCTTAAAACCCCTAAACCCTAGACCCTAAACCCTAAACGACCCAGATTCTCAGGTCGATGCAAAGCTCCTCGTCAAGGGCGACCTTGTCCGAGTGCTTCCGGGATCGAAGGCAGCAGAAACAGGGGCGCAGTAGGTTTAGGGTTTAGGGTTCAATTAAGGTTTAGGGTTTAGGGTGTAGTAAGTAAGTTTAAGGGTGCTTTTAAGGAGCACATACCGGTACTATAAGGGGTCTAGGGTTTGGGGCTACTTGGAGAATCCGGGGACTTAGTAAGTTAGGTTATAGGTAGCCAAATTGGGGCTATGAGTAATGATAACTATGATTTTCTTTATGACCTAGACCTAGATACTAAGTCCCCTTATCCTCCAGTAGTCCCACAAGCTATTTGAACTTAACAGCAGAGCTTTTAAACTTTAAACTTTTCTGGAGTAACCAAACCCCTGAAAACTGGAAGTTCAGCTTTTTTGTGAATCATGAACTACGCAAGGGCTTCGTTAAGGAACATGTCCCCAGACCCCCGGGAGGATCCAAAAAGTAGATCCCTTAATGGGGGCTCCTATAAAGTACCCTGAGTAGTTTAGGGCCCCAAATTAGGGGATCTACTTTCTAGATCCTCCCGGGGGTCTGGGTCTTAAACCAGAATAGTTTTAAAAAACACCATAATGTAAGGGTGTTAGCTCGAGGAGTACCCGACTTTGCCCCCGCGCTACACCGGTAGACCCCAGAACCCAGACCTTCAAGCTAAGCCCCCTGTAGAACCCATATAGTACCGTGAAAGGGACCTCTCATAGAACCTCTACACCCCTAGAGACATGCCACGAGTGCTTTCAGCAGGTGCCAGCGGATGGAACGGTGGAGTCAGGCCCCATGGGAGTTAGTAAGTAAGGTTATAAGTACCTTAATTCGAGCTAGTAAGTAATTCTACCTATAGCTAGCAATGTCTAACCCTAGTGGCCCTAGTTACTAAGTTTGGTGAGTGTATGTTGAAAGGTGACGGGTTTTCAAAGGGCTACGATACACTTCAGTCTTGATATTCTTGTAGGACCTCAGCAAGTCGGACAATCAGGGTTTAGGGGCCTTAATATTTAGAACAGGGGTTCGGCGCCAATTATACTACAATTAAAATAAGGAGCCACCAAAATACCCCAAAATAGTATCGGTAATTATTGAGGCCCCTATAGTACGGTTCTCGGAATTTGAGTCCTAAACCCGCCAAGTTAGAACTTCGGAAAAGACACCTACCTGAGGCCTGATAAAGGTGCGATGCCTTTGCGGATGCTCCATTTTTTGGATGCAGCTGAATCTAGAGTATGTGTCTCACGGGCAACGGTATATGTCTTTGTGATACGGTGTTGCTTGCTGTAGGTTACCTCTCATCTCTGTCTGAGGGGAGTAGCTACATGAAGGGCTTGCACAACCAGTGACGATGTCTCCGGGGTACTGGGCTTTTGAGTACCATACTGTAATGGTTTTTCTTAAAGGAAGCATTATGAAGTAAAGTTTATGCGTTTTTCTCTCTGGTGACTTAAAAGCCCAGGGTAGTCCTTCCTACAACGTACAAGGAAGGCCCCTATATTAGGGTACTGCCCCCACTCAGTAACAGTTGGATAATACATCGGGAGGACAAAAGTTTTGACCTACTGGATCTGTCTTGTCTTAAGACGTCTTGCGGAGTAGCGGAGTACCGAAAAGTGCGATTTACGTGGCCTGGCCAGCGGAGTATTTTATACCCCATTTTAAAATTCTACTACTTTAATGTTCCGGAGGAGTCCTGCTTGTTCCGGAGGAGTAGCCGGTTGGTCCTGCTTGTTAGGATTAGTAGCGGCTTGGTCCTGCTTGTCAGGATTCTGTGGGGGCCTGTGTTCGACGACAGGAGTAGGTCAAACTTTCGTCCTACCGCAGTATTCATAATATAGAGATATAAGGACCTTAATAGTAGCCCTATTATAGACTCGTACTGTATGGGGGTGGAGTACCTCCAAGATTCCCCTCTACCTCTCAAGCCGCAATTTTCCTGTGACCCCTTCGGTGTTGTAGACTGTTACTGTATGGGGGCCGTACCCACGTGGAGGGTCGGGGGACTTAGTAAGTATGTAGTAGGTAGACTTATTAACTTTTAAGTACCCTAAAGGGAACCCTAATTGGGGTTATGGTACTTATAAGTCCCTAAAATAACCAGTTACTAAGTCCCCCGACCCTCCAAAAACCCGATACGACCTAAGGGTTCGGTCTCCTGATCTGTTCGGCGACCTTCACCTTAGGATCATGGGTAAGCAACGTTGTAAGTACTTGGATTGGAGTTATGCGTATGTCTATACCGGTTTAGAAGAATAGGGTACTCTGATTGGAGTTACAAGCATTTAGACCTGTAGTTACATCATTTACGACCCTACTTACCAAGTCCTGAGATCCTCTAAGCAAACCCTAAACCCTCAAAGCCACTCTACACTAAGTTCCATGATCCTCTAAGTAAACCTTAAACCCTAAACCCCACTCTAAACTGAGCCCCAAACCCTAAACTCTAGACCCGAAGTAAACCCTAAACCCTAAGTAAACCCGAAAAGCGGTAGGCGAGTCGGCTGTGGACGAGTCGGCGTTGACCGGGGAGTCTTTGCCTGTACCCAAGGCAAAGTCTGCGAAAGCCCGGCTTCCCTTAAGGTTGTAGACTTTGCGTTTTGGGGCTGAAGGTAAGTCCTTAAGGGGTTCCTGCAGAGTCTCAAATCAAATAGTTTATAGAGTATCAAGTAGTAGTATCCCAGACCCCCTTTGGGGGATCCAAAAAGTAGATCCCTTAATGGGGTTCACCTTAGCAGTATAGGGCCCCAAATTACGGGATCTACTTTCTAGATCCTCCCGGATATCTGGGTAAGGATGCCCTAATTTGGGGTTCTTGGGCTCAAGCGTTAGGACAGAGGTTCCTTTCGCTTTGGAGTCGTGTTCCTGCAGAGTGGTCGATGTGTTAGACGTTCTGCTCCTGATTGACTTACCTTAGGTTAGTAGGGAAGGGAGGAATGGGGTACAATTATCATTACTATTACTACCATTCCTCCATTCCCGACTAACCAAAGGTAAGTTGAACAATGAGAAAAGCTGGATCGTTTTCGGATTCTCGCAGAGGAGTACCGCTTGCGGTTTCCCCCGTGAGGGATTTGCAGCCTAATTTGACGTGTAAGCTGGGAATATAGAGTTGCTGCTCAAGGCGGCAGTTGTGACACCATAATACGAAGGAACAGCAGGGCGAGAGGCCTATCCTTAAACCATAGGCCCTTTTACCGGAAACCCTAAACCCATACCAGGAACCCCCCCAAGACCCAAATAGTGGGGTGGGTATTTGCGGTATATTAGAGAGTAGTTGGGAGGCCTAGGTACTTGGAGGATCCTGGGCCTTAGTAAGTAAGGTTATAAGTACCCTAATTGGGGTTATAAGTAATTACAACTATAGTTACCTTACCTATAATCCTAGTTACTAAGTCCCATGATCCTCCAAGTAGACCCCTAAGCCATCCTGAGCCTTCGGAACAGTCCTCGTGGCCCACAGTTGCAACCAAAGCTGCCAAACTTGGAGGATCGTGGGACTAAGTAACTAGGGTGATAAGTACCCTAATTGGGGTTACTACATAAGTAACTAGGGTGATAAGTACCCTAATTGGGGTTACTACAACTATAGTTACCCTACATTTATAACCCCAAGTACTAAGACCCATGCCCCTCTAAGCAACCAAAGCTGCCAAAGGCTCCTGGAGACCGCGTGGTCGGGGGCACTGCAAACCATGGTGGCCAGCTGCAGGCACTGTTTCTGGGGGTTGTTACCTTTGGTTAGTAGAGAATGGAGGAATGGGGTACATTTGTAACTACTATTACTACCATTCTTCCAATCCCTACTATCCAAAGGTAAGGGTTTAGGCCTGTTGCGATTCTTTGGGAACCTGGTTGGCTCTTTTGAGTGGTGGTCCTAGATTCTAAACCTTAAACCCTAAAGCAAAAGCCCCTAAACCCTCAACCCTATAACGTATTCGCAGTCGGTTCTGAAAGTTTCAACTTTTGTTTCATTGGGTTTTGGGACAGTGAGATAAGGGGCACCACAGCAGGCCCTGCTTGTTTTCTCCCCGTGCAGGTACGCCTGGAAGCAGTGGGTGAAAGCTCGGCATTAGCGCAGGCGCGAAGTCGGTTTTAGAGTTTGGGGTCTAGCTGGGTTTAGGTTGTAGAGTTTAGGGTTTAGCCTTTGGGTTTCGGGTTTGGAGTTTCATTTCGGGTTTAGCGTTGGGTTTAGGGTTTAGAGTTTAGGGTATCGCATTGGGTTTAGGGTTTAGCGTTTAGCGCTGGGTTCAGGGTTTAAAGTGTGCAGGATTGAGTGTTGGGTTAGGGTTTTAGAGTTTAGAGTTTGTCGTTGGACTTAGGATGCAGGGCTTGGCATTTGGTCTGGTCTTGAAGTTCAGAACTGACTTGTTCAGGGAGAGCAGGAGAATGAAGATGAGGACGACCAGCACGACGATGATGGGCACTTCTTTTGCTTCCCGGACGATAATGTCTTCCTGCCATTGATGATGGTGAATGCTGGTGACAACATGGAGGTTCCGAAAATAGCCGCCCTAGCATATACATCCGCGAAACGCCCTGAATATGCCATCGTAAGGGCTCACGAGAGCTTCATAAGATTTTAACTAAGCCCTAAACCCCTAAACCCTAAACCCAACATCGTTGTTTCGGCCCTCAGTAAACATTCATTAAACCTTCAGCTCTGTAAAGCTCCTAGACTACCACTTCATATTTATACTCAACTTTATACTGCTTCCTGTTGAGCCTACTTAAAACTCCAGAAATCTCTCTATGAAGCCTGATAAAGAAAGTTTATCTTAAACATTCAACAAAAACTGAGAAACCCAATTCCAAAATAGATAAAAGTCGTAAACACCTGCCAGTCCTGTAAGAACCTAGCAAGCTTCCTGCCGATATACTTCGCGGCACAACTTTCTGCTCAGATCGTTGGCCTCGTCGAAGCGGCGCAGTCGCAACGAGCTCCGGTTCAGGACATGGTTTTAAACTGCTTACTTGGAGGATCATGGAACTTGGTAAGGAGTCCCCTTTAAGGGATCTACAGGGGTACTAGAAGGGTTTAGGGTACTTGGAGGATCATGGGACTTTAAGTAAGTAAGTAAGGTTGTATGATGTCATAAGCAGCCTAATTGGGGCTGTAGCTGTTTATAACCCAGTCATCGAAGCGGAAGATGCTCGGCCCAACAGCGTTGCTTCCTTTGGTTACTCTGGGTAAAAGAAACAAGTAGCCGAAGCAAAGCACAAATGCTTTGTCGCAGCCACGTTAAGGAAGCGGAACTCCTAACGGAAGTCCCTGTCTGGCGAGAGGACACCGTAGGGTCCCTTGCTTTGAGGGCCGGCTGCCGCGTCGTTGTGACACACAACCTCACGGAGACCTTGGTCAATGGGACTTTGGCGACCGTCGAGGAAGTCCTTCCCTTTGCCGTGGTTCTGAGAACCGAACAGGGAATGGAAATGCTGCATTTGCGCAGCGCGCGGATTGCCACGCCAGATGGCGACCGGCTGCTGACAGGTTTCGACTTGCAGCATGCCTATGCCCTCACGGTGCATCAAGCACAGGGCATGACATTGGAGTCGGGCATTCTTCTCTTTGAAAGTTTCTGCCCTGAAGCCTGGGCATACACAGCCCTGACAAGGCTCAAGTCCCGGGAAAGACTCCTTTGTCTAGGTCGCTTGTCGCCGGAGAAATTCCGACCGCGGCAGCTCTGACGTGCAGGGAAAAAAAGTGTGGCAGCTCCTGCAAAGTCCTAGTGCAAGACCCCTCTCTTGCATGTGTCCGCACTATCGCTCCTGGGAGGACGAAATACAAGGCAGAACTACACGCGCCACTGGGCAGCGGTTTTTCTGTGCGCAAACACGGCAGCTGCTGTACGGACTCGTTGGCCATCCAAGGTTACGCTCCAGACCCGCAGGTTGACTGGCAGCCAGTCGACCGTGTCCCGCTAAGGGTGTTTTGCGCCGTGTTTTGTTTTCCTGCGTTCGGCACTAGGGTTGCTTGATTGTAGCAGCACTTGGTCAAGCCTATGATCGAGAACGTGCCTGGCACTACGTTTCCTGACTATGCTGCATCTTTCACGGTACGCCTGTGTTACAGGCTTGCGCACAACTGGCCGATCTGCTTCGAAACCCTGGCAGTAGTTGCTGAAAGCCGTCTGGTCCTTGATGTAAATGCTGCCTTGTTCGCAGTGTGACTTGCTAAGGCTTTTCCTCTCTTTGACTGCATTTTCCTCGATTTGCAGCGTGTTCGTGGTGATGATGGGCTATGTTTACCACCCATCCCACCCGCGCGAGGAAGGATTTGCATCAAATGTGCTGGTGAACCGGTTCCGGAACCGGTCGGTGAACTGGTTTGGAAACCCGTTTACAAACCGGTTTGGAAATCGCTGTTTTGCTGCGTTTTGCAGCGTTTTCCACAGAATATCCATGGTTTTCCAACCGGTATACGGACCGGTTCGCGAACCGGTGTGCGAACCGGTTTGGAAACAGGCTAGCGAACCGGTTTCCACCGATTTTATATTTATTTTGCTATAGTTGTTCCTCTGTTGCACTGTTTTTTCAAGGTGTCCGGCGCGTTCGCAGTGTGCTCTGCTAGCGGTGTCCTCTGTTTTACAGCACTGTCCTAGGTTTCCAGTGTATTTTACTGTATTTTGCTAGAGTCTTCCTGTGTTTCACTGTGTTGTCCCGGTTTCCGGCGTGTTCGGAGTGTGATTGCTCGCGTTTTCTTCTGTTTCGCAGTATATTCCTAAATTTCCAGTGGTGCTAGGCAGGATTTACAGCAAATTTCTTTGTGAACGGGTTCGCGAACCGGTTTGGAAACCGTTTCGCAAACCGGTCTGGAAATCGCTGGTTTCCAGCGTTTTGCCGTGTTTTCGGTAGAAAATCCATGCTTTTCCAACGGGTTCGCGAACCGGTTTGCGAGCCGGTTTGGAAACCGGTTTGGAAAATGGCTGTTTAGTGTATTTTGCTATATAGACATTTCCTCTGTTTCACTGCATTTTCCTTGGTTTCCGGCGTGTTCGCGGTGTGATTGACTGTGTTTACCACCCATGCCACCCGTGCGAGGCAGGATGTACAACAAATTTCCTTGTGAACCGCTTCTGGAACGTTCGCGAACAGGGTTGGGAAACCGGTTTGCAAACCGGTTTGGCGACTAAACCGGTTGGGAGGGTTAGAAAAGTTACTTATTATACTGTATCTGTGAGCTCAGCCCAAACGCTAAACCCATTCAAAACCCATAGGCCCCTTATAAAGACTCTTCAGCCAATATTGAGGCCCTTGTACGACCCTAAATCGCTGTAGATTATGGAGGCCCCTGCGTTACCTCGAGGCCTGATCTACCCAAGAACAAAAGAAGCTCGCAGATAGGCCCCTTAATCATAGACCAAAACCCTAAAAAACCATTGAAAGGCTTATGGGCCCTTTATAGAGACGTATCTACCCAGTTTAGGGTTTAGAAGTTTAGGATCAGGGGTTCAGGGGTTAAAGACCAAACCCTGAAAACATTGACAGGCTTATGGGCCCCTTATAGAGACTTATCCAGACCCCCGGGAGGATCTAGAAAGTAGATGCCCTAATTTGGGGCCGTATACTACTAAGGGTATTTTCTTTATAGGAACCCCCATTAAGGGATCTACTTTTTGGATCCTCCCGGGGGTCTGGGGACTTATCTACCCAAAGGAAGAAGAAACGAAGAAATTATAGACCAAAACCCTAAAAACATTGAAAGGCTTATGGGCCCCTTATACAGACGTATCTACCCAAAAGAAGAAGAAAAGAAGGAGCTCGCCGACCGGGTCTCGAGCGTCTTTGTGCCGACGGTTCTGGTGCTGAGCCTGGCGACGTTCGTGCCCGGGCCTGGTGTTGAGGGGTACCCGATTAAAGGGCGACTATACTCAGACCCCCGGCACGATTTAGAAAGTAGATCCCCTAATTTGGGGCCCTATACTACTAAGGGTACTTTATAGGAGGCCCCCAGTAACGGATCTACTTTTTGGATCCTCCCGGGGGTCTGGGGTGTTGAGGGGTACCTTATTAAAGGGTTATTATAAGGGTACTATGTTTAAAGGGCTCTATAAGGCTTTAGGGTTTCCGAAAATGAGGGGTACCTTATTTTGGGGTCTTTATACTAAGGATGCAACTATTGAGGGCCTTGAGGGTACTATATTAGGGTCCCCTATGTTGTGTTTTGGTGTTGGCTGTGCCTGGGTGTTAAGATTATGATGCCAACCCTGTCGTGCATTACTTGTTTGTTGTTCCGGGTGTTAGGGATGCTTTCGTGACGGCGTCAAAGTTGGATGCTCTGCAGTTGTCGTGCATCACAAAGATTAGGTCGGGGTCATTTAGTCATGTGGAAAGTTTGGAGAAGCTTTTGCTGCTACGGTGCTCCTGACTTGTGTCGAAAGTCACCTAGTGACCTAGTGCAAAGCACAACCTCAGCCCGCGAGGGCTAAATCTGTGAGCAGAAGTGCATCCCCCTGATTAGTAAACACTCTTCCTGTGCTTGCCTTGATATCAGGGAGTCTCGTCGCTGTTCCTACTAGGTCATCAATCAGAGGTCTATATTAGCGAGGTCTCCCCTTAGTTCCGTATTGATAAGAGGCTACTGGGGAACCTAGTTACCATTCCCCGTCCCGCCCCTCCGCCCCGCCTGATACGGCGTTTTGTCTTGAAGACAGTTAATGTCGACTTACAACAAGTTTTTAGAGGAAGGCTTGGAGGTTAGGGTTCAGAGAGGCATGCTACAATCTGGGCCATAAATCCTAAACCCTGAACTCTGCGTGGTAAAATCCTCCACCGGTTAGTTGCTGCTGCATGTCGTAAGTTGTACCGGTGGTGTCCACCCCGGACACTGAACTCCAGGAATGCCGTGATCAGTTGAAGTAAGAATACGGTGGGCCTCCTTACCACCGAGCTTGTCGAGGGGCAAGCACTTAACTCATCATCCCTGCGAACTTCGCCATCCAGATCGGCCTGGCTATGCCCATCTTTCCTTCCACGCTGCGCCCGAAGATGTGGTGGAGGAAGTTCGCCCGAGGCCGACGGACGAGGACGATGGACCCCTCTACATCCCACAGTTCACCGGCTGCTGGTGGGGACTGAGATACGTTCTTCGCGAGGCTGGCTTCGAAGATATCACAGAGGAAGGATTCACATTTGCTCGCAAAACCTTTCAGGGCGCTGGAACGTAGCAGCCGATCAATAACACATGTGGCTTTTTTCCGTCCCCATATCCTCCATGGGAATATTCTTGGAGCTGCAGCCCCTGTACCCCAAAGCCTAATCCCATTACAGCCAAAAACCAAGCCCCAACCCCAATTCAAATGAACCCATCCCAAGAAAACCCAAAAGCCGAGACCCTAAACCCCACTTGGAGGATCAGGGGACTTAGTAAGTAAGGTTGTAAGTCCCCTAATTGTGGCTATAAGTACTTGTACGCAGAGTTGTTTTATTTATAACCCTAGTTGCTATGTCCCATGATCCTTTAAGCAAACCAGGAAAGGAGCCCTCCCAAACAACGTTTGGAGGATCCAAAAATTAGATCCTTTAATGGGGGTTCCTATAAAGTACCCTTAGTAGTATAGGGTCCCAAATTAAGGGAGCTACTGTCTAGATCCTTCCAAAGGTCTGGGAAATTGCGGCTCACAGGTACTTTGGATGTGTCTCTTGGGGACAGGCCTCGTCCATTTGGATGCAGCGACTCGTCTCCGGAGTAGAGACGCTTCAAGGGTTTTGTTGAGGGGTTTCGGGCTTAGGGTCCCTTCATGGTTTGGGATCCCTTTAAGGGCTTCCTTTACGAGCTACTAAAGGGTTTTTAGGATCCTAAGAGGGAATCTTATTCAGATGCCGTTACAGGAACCCTTGAGGGCAGCCCGATTTAGGTTACCGTTAATGGAGCCCTGAAAGGATCCAACAATCGAACCTGACATCCTTCCAGTATGGGACTTTACAAAGTGTTCGTTGTTGAAGGAGCTTGGGAAGTATCCACGAGGCAGTTATCAGGACGGGCTCTTCTATTTCAGGCTGAACACGGGCTTTTCCTCATCTTTGAAAATAGAACTCTGAGCCGCGACCCCCCTTTGGAGGATCTAGAAAGTAGATCCCCTACTTTGAGGCCCTATACTACTAAAGGCACTTTATAGGAACCCCCATTAAGGGATCTACTTTTTAAATCCTCCCGGAAGTCGGGGGAGCTGGTTTGCCCGTTTTTGTTTTCCTGGTGCGCCAGAACCAAGGTGAGCAACAGCGAGCACCACAACGACTTCACCTTCTGCCCGAAGCCCATCTGTCAAGGGGTAGAGAGACCCAGCGAATTGGCTCGGCGTAAGGACAGGGCTTCGGTTTTTAGCGAGCTTTTGTGCGGCATAAAGAACTCTGCTTGCTGTTCAATTGAAGCATCAGGGAATCAAGTCCTCCGCCCGTCCATGAAGCCGGCATGGTAGGAATGGATGGACTGAAAGAAAGAACAGCAGTACTGGCTTCAATCCGGCAAATCCCATAATTCTGAGGTTCTTCGCGATTGAGGCTTTAAGGCTTCATCATGTCAAGAGGTTAAGGTTTCAGAACCAGGCTATATCTGGCGCTTAAGATTTAGGATTTTATGGTTTAGTGCCCCCTACACCCCAAACCCCTAAACCCTGCCCTCAAATCGTAAGTTCAGCTGCAAGAGGCCTGATGATGGCAATCTCCGTGCTGGTCGTTGCCTGCCCCTGTGCGCTGGGCCTTGCAGCGCCGACAGCAGCAACTCAGGCAGCGACTTAGTAATCCCTGCACCCGGAAAGATTCTCTCCAAGGGTAAAAGGAGGGACCCTTAATAAGGACCCCTAGGTATATACCCTTAATATAGCTATTATATACCCATTACGTAGCCCATTATAGGGTAGGGGTCCCCATTAAGGGTCCCTCCTTTTCCCCCTTCATTCTCAGGACCCAGCACCCTGAACACTGCACTGAGTGCCCGAACCCCCAAACTGAGCCTGAAGCCACATCGGACCGGAAGCTCAAATCTCACTGCGAATCTCTAAACCCAAGCCCACCTGGCTTGGAAAATTCAAAATCCCGAAAGCAAAATGCTTCGATGACTAGGGTCTTGGAGTTCCGGGCTAAATATTGGGGCCTTAATGATTAGAGAAGAGTCTGAGGGTGTGGGAGCGCAGGAGTCTGGTGTATCAAATCAGTAGCGATGTTTAGGGGTTTAGAGTGTTTAGGGTTTAGGGCATGATCTTGGGGTTTAGGGTTTGTTAGAGTTTGGGGTTTCTCTTCAACATACTAACGTCGATGGCTTGGGATTCCGAGACGGCCGAGGTGATGGTCGGAACAGGAGTCGGAGCCACGCAAGGCACACCCGGAGAGCACAGCGGAGATATATCAGGAATCTTCGGTTCAGAGTTTCAGGGTTTAGGCTTTAGAGCAGGGTTGAGAGTTTCGGGTTTAGGGTCTAGGTTTAGGGTTTAAGCGCATCGCTGTTGCGGGTTTGCGTTTAGGGAGCGGAGTAGGTATTGGCGTTTTTTTAGTGTGGCATCTTAACCTTTAGCTCGTTTTCCCAAACAAGGTACACTAGGATTCGTACTGCAGGATCTTAATTAACCTCCTATTGCATTCGGTTGCCCACAAACTCCCACAACAGGTACGACGAACTTCATCTTGACATATTTTGACCACGGGCTAGGTCGTCCAAAACAAACTCCGATGCAGACTCTATGTTCCGCCGACTGCAACCCTAAACCCTGCAAGCCCCCGGCTTGCTGGTACACGGTCAAGCAATAGAGAGACAGAGGAGTGGTATCGCGTTCCGTATGGCTCTGGATAATCGAGAGGCTGATGGAAGACGCTCGGGCACTCACTTTTGATCACTCGTAGCTGCGAACACCTGACAGCTCACGGTGCGAGTCAGCCAGAACTGTTTAGTTCTTGCATCCCACCGGCTCCCCGCCCGGAAGGAAATGTATAAGCTGCTCATCCGTCGAAATACACATCATTAACATAATCAGACTGCAAGGTGTCCATGCCTTCGGTTTTACGTTTGCGCGCTGAGCGCATTTGAGGATCTTCAACAATCCTCCAAGTATGCTGCATCCGGTAGAAGAGCTCCAACTCCTTGTTGGCATTTCGCTTCGTCAGGGAATTCCCCAATTGAGCTTCAGAGTGTACCCAGCGTATGATCACCTTCGTCTTGATCTGAGCCTCCTTGACACTCAACAACTCAATGTTGGACTTGCGTTCAGCTCCTTTGATGGATAAGACCTCAGTTTTCAACTTATCGTAAACATTCCTGGAGTCCGTGATGACGCATCCCGTGACCTTAGACACTGTGGCATCTGGGTCCTTAGTCGAAACCTGACCGTACAACATCTCACTCCACTGATATCGGACATAGTACATCTGGTCCTCGCCGTTGACCGCGGCTTGAACCTCAGCTGACCCCGGACTCCTGCAGGTCCTGTCAATCTTGTGAGACTGCCAGGACACTGGAGTCACCTTTCCCAGTGCTCCTTGCAGCAAGTTCAATGGTGCCAAACCGATAAAGATTCCCTGGGTACTTCCGCCATCTTGGCGGTTCTCGTTGGCAGCATCAACCCAAGCGTAGCACCCTAATTCAGCCTCAGGAGGGAAGGCGTGGATCAGCATCTGATGTTGCTTCCGGGCTTTAGCACTCTGGAGGAGGTGGTTAGCCTGCATGACAGTGGCAATGGTGCTTTCATTCACTTCAGAAAGTAGTAAGCTCACTTCGGCCGCCAAGTGGGGAGCGACCTGCTGAGCGTGCCAAGAAACCGCCCCTAGCAATGCCCTCAACTTTGTCTTCTCCCAAGCGGTGGTAGGCTGTTGCCGATCTTTGCGGCGTGAGCTGCACAACGGAATCTCTGGTATCTCCTCCACATAACGGGATTGAGACAACTGGAAGCCCTGGGCGTTCTGTTGTACCCGAACTCCACATTGAATGAAGTCATCTCGTTCCCAGTCACCCCATTTAAATCGGGCCTTGATCTTTTCAAGAATGGCTTGCCACTCGGGGTCGTTGTCGGCCCCAGCAAACAAGAAATCGTCGACATGACCTGTGATGATGCCTCTCAACTTCCCATTGACTCGCCAGGCCCACATACAAGCATCAGACCACAGCCTTTCTAATCCTAACTCCTCGAAATATTCGGAAATGGTCCTATACCACTCCAGTGGCGCGTCTACCAATCCGTAGCAAGCTCGGCGCATCTTTGTAATGGATCCGACCGGGATGTCCATGGCCTTGCAAATCTCGGGACAAGGAATGCAGTAAAGGTCGTCTGGGTACTCTCGGCCCTGCAAGAATGCCCCTGTCACGTCCCCTTTGTACACTGTCCAAGAAAAATTGGCTGCTGCTTGCAATGCTAGCTGTCTCGACTGTCGAGTCATCACGGGTGAAGTTGTAGAGCGGTGGGCGTATGAAGGGTCTTGATACCCGAGCAGTACTGCTCGGGCTTTGGCCTTCTTGCTGCCGTCTTCGCGAACCTTCCAAGTTAAAAGCCATCGCATGTTCACTGCCTGTTCTCGGCTGGGAGCTAAATGTTGTGGAAGGCTTTCGAAGGCACTGGAGGCTATGAAGTTATTGACCTCAATCTGTTTTGCAGCTTGGAACTTCGCAAGGTCTTCTGAGGAAAGGTGCCTCTCTGAAACTTCGACTGCTCTGCGCTTCAGCGCCCCCACAAAATATGATTTCAAGTCTTGCGTTGCTGATTCCCAACCTCGTCGGCTTGTGGGCATGTCGATAGCCACCTCCACTGCTGCCTTTTGGTCCGCCCAGAAAGAGCAGTCGTGAGCCATCCATGCTGAGTCGGGAACCTTCTGATACCACCGCTCTTCCGCCTCGGTCCAAAAAGCAGTCATCGCGGAAAGTCGGGGAGCTGGACCTCTGGAACTGGCAGATGGCTCGCTGGGCTCTGCCTCTGGCAACTCCTCTGGGGCCTCTGGTTGGGCCCGTTTTCCGCGAAAGCGGAATCTTTGTGGTGGAGCCTCCCGCTGGGTGTCCTGAGCTCGAAGCCATTCTTGTTCCGTTGGAGCATCCCCAGACACATCCTGCATCTGGTTTCCCCCTATTTCTTCTGCCACCCTTGAAAAGGTCCAAGGGGTGGAATCATGTCCATGGGATCCCGCCAGTGACTCCAGCAATTGTTCACGCTGAGAAGCATGTCTCAGCTGCTCCACACAGCACTTGATCAGGTTCCTTCCTCTGGCGCACCATACTGTGCTCCCGTCACGCAAGCTCCCGTCGTCGTCACGCTTGGCTTCAACCGCCAACACTCTAGCTGGCCCCAAGAATCGACCATGTTTCGTGCCAGGTGCTCGACGGCCCTGGCCTGATTCTTGACTTCTCCAGAAGTAGATGAGGTCTCCAGCTTGATAGTGAGCACGGGGTCTCGCCTTGGAATTTCTTGCCCTAGAGATACGTTGTGCAGCATGCCACTCTGAGTGTGCTTTCTCTGCTTCGGCCCGGAGTCGGGCCGAGGTCTCCAGTTCTTCGGTCGCACTTTCAACAATCAGTTCATCGGGTATGGAACCTGGGACTTGAAGCAAGGGCCCTGTCACATCAGGGCTCCGACCAAAAACATGTTGTATGGGACTAAATCCACGCACCTGTTCTCGAGCATTGAATGTCGCCACTGCCATGGTCAGAGCGGTTTCAGCTGACAACCCTTCTTTACTTTCACACAGTTTCGACATCACTTCCTTAACTCCCTGAATCGCTTGTTCACACACTCCAATCTGCCAGTGGCCATCGGCCGGGATGTTGTCAAGGTAGATACTTTCTTGATCGCAGAAATCCACAATTTGTTGCCCTCTGAAAGCACCGGCCGAATCTAACCGAAGAGCCCTAGGCATGCCGAAATACTGCGCCCATCCCTCCCGCAAGTACTGAATGCACGCACTCGCATTGGGTTGTTTCCGGGAACCTCGGGTCAGGATCCTTGCCGTCCTAAACCGGCTGCCTTCGTCAATGATCAACATGAATTGCACAATCTCACCAGTTTCGGGATGGGTCCAGTGGCCTATATCCGTAGAGACCGTGTGGAGTTTGGGTGGTAAGGCTTCCAAGGAAGACAGATGCCGTGGCTGAATCTTATGTCGTTCGGCACATGTCGGACAGGAAAACTCTTTTGCAAGTTTCAACACCTCGGGTTCCACATTCCGTCTGCGCAGCATGTTCACAAGGCTCTGAACACTTCCATGTCCGGTGGCGGCATGAAGCTTATACAGCTGTTTCTTGATTTGCTCGGGAGTCATCAGAGGGCCTCGGGGTCCTAGTCTCAAACCTTGCGCCGCAAAAGCAACTTCCTGATTTCCTTCAGTCTCAGGTACCTGAAACCCAACCTTCTGAAGATGCTCACGCTCAGCCGCAGACAGAAACCGGTGGCCCCTAGTCACGTAAGCCCCCAAAACAATCCGATTCCCTGTCCACTCTTGCGGACCATGCCACGCCTTCAAGGAGAAGGTCTGGATCCGGTGGTGGATGTCGTACAGCTGGCCACTGGCGCGTCGTCCCGTAGGTAGCGCCTTTGGCACAACTGCACTCTTTTCACTAGGTTCTCCCTCTACCCACAGCTCCCCGTGACTGTAGTCTCCTAGTCCAATTACCACGTTGGGATACTTCTCGTCGTTGTGACTATCCTTGTGCAAGGGACACTTTCCATTGAAGTTCACAACTAACGACGTACTAGTCACTGGCTTGAGGCTCCAACGTTGCATGTAGTTCAAGAGGTACTTGAGGGTTCTGGGGTATCGCTCCGTCCGGTTCGTCACTCCATACTGATTACCGTACGAGTAGGCCCCAAAAACAAGGTACTTCTGGGAGTCCTTATCAAGGATGCCTCGGTGTCCTTCGTGGTTTCTACACGGAAGTTTGTTGAGAATTTCTTCGCAGGTAGAATGCTTGAAGTCTTTGTTGGTCAGGGCCTTTTGTGCCTGTTGTTCAACTTCTTGCACCTGGGTCTCAAAGGAACCTAAACCCTCGTCAAGCCCTGGGTCCTGTCGCATCAGAAACTCTTCTCGGTCCTCTTCGTCTTTACCCAACAGACATGAAGCACACTTCCGGGGTTTTTGGGGCAAAGACACTGCCGAACACTGACAACACCATCCCTGTCCAAATCCTTGCGGCAACCCTGACAGGCCTTTGCCTTGTGCCTCTTGTGAAAGACTGACGAAATCTAACTCCTGACAGATCCCTTTTGCGACCCTCTGCACAAAGTCCTTGGTATACAGTTCACTCTTGACAGCATCAGAGCCCGTGCACTGTCCATGCTTCACATGTTTGGGGCACCTACACGGGAGGTTAAGGACTTCCGACAGTCTACGGTGGGTCGTGAGGATTCGCCATCCCTTCTGCATCAGCACTCCTTTGCTGTCCCGCAAACCTACACGACAGCCCTTGCACACAGCCTGAAACAAGGAGCAACTCTCCCTGAGCTGCGTCAGGATTGGCAGTCGCCAGGCTTGGCAACGCTCGGCCAATTCCAAGCTTACATGAATGCCTTGCTGCAGACAAGCCCTGACCACAATGCATGCTCCAACATATGCTCTCATGGCCTGGTCACGCTTCGTTTGAAGTTCCTGTTTCTGGGTTTCGGTTCGGGCATTGTTGTTTTGAAGGGGAGAATATGGTCCTGATGGTGGGCTGATCCACACGTGAGTCGGTCGTTCCAACTCCAGTCGTTGGAGGATCAGTCTGACTCCACTATCCGTTCCTAAGTCACAACCATTAAGCGACGAACATCTAACCGCAGCTTCTGGATCCCCTCGCAACTCCTGGACTTGTTGAGACAAAAGGCTGTCCTCCTTGCAAGCAATCTCCATGAGGGCCAGCCGATTATGTCGAATCAAACCCTCAAACATGTTGGGCACAATTGACCAGGCGGCATCTTCTAAGTGCCGGGCTTTTCCAATGGACAATTTAGCACTGAGCAACTGAGATGCACTAGGTTTGCGGCCCCCATGTTCGCTTGCGCCAGGACTCATATCTGGCTCCTCACTTGAGAAGTCCTCTTCACACTCTAGAGGCCCGCGCTTGAGTCCTCGGTGTCCTTCTTGGCCTGACTCGTGCCACCCTTCTTGCGTGGCAACTTCTCGTCCTTGATGTCTGACACCTCGGCTTGGAGCTGCATCATCATCTCCATCATCTTCTCCATCTTGTTCTCCAAGGCGGCACTGCTGCTGGAGGCTGTCTCCTGCGTGTCCTCGGGCGGCGTGGCGGCCGCTTTCGCCTTGGGCTGTGTCTTGCCCTTGTGATATCCACTGGCCAGGAACAGGATCTTCCGCTCGTCCGTGGTCTCGGGGATCATCTCGGCCTTGTCTTGCATCTCCAACCATTTGGCAAACCTCGTCAGGCGGGGATTGCACAGCTCCGTCCGAGCTGTCTCCCGGGCCCATACGCAGTAGCCTGGATCGTCCCGCTGAGTCTGCTGGTATGTCTTGGCAGCATTTCGGCCAAATCCCATCGGATCTGTGGCATGTGGTGTGGTCACCTGCAAGATCTGTTCGATGGCCATCATTTCGAGTCGGGCTACTGTGAAGCCCTCCACATTGCTCATGTTCAGACGCTCCTTGACGAACTTCTGCAGCTCGCTCTTGCGTTTGTTGGCTGCCTTCCGCATCTCCTTCATCAGGATCGAGTACTCGGACTCGTCGTGGATCTGGAGTTGGCGACTGGTCCGACTGAGGTCCTCGCCGGTGATCTCGGAGACACGGTAGCGTAGCTCGGCCACCGTCCACCCTTTTGGGGGTTCTTCCCCTGCGGCACGAAGAGCAGCAACCAACTGGTCCTTTTTGAGGTCTGACATGAGGACTTGCTACCGGGGGTGGCAAGAACGTAGATGCGGAAGAGTCAGGCTGATTGGGCACGACAATGGCTGTGTGAGCGCATTCCTCCTTGCCCTGTTCTTGACTGGCCTCCAACCCTTCGGCAGTGAACTCCCTGGCAGTCTGATTTATCTCAGAAAAACACAACCCTTCATGACTAGCATTATCAACATTCACACTAGAGCAGCTCATACATTGGCTCCCGGGAGCCGTTGAAACATTAGCATTGGCAACACAACTCGATTCAGCTGTGGCATCCCCCTGCCCTGAAAAACTGTGCTCGACCTTTCCTTTCTTGTCAGGACTCAATGAGGAAAGGAGTTGTCCCTACTCGTCCTGAGAGTGGGCCTTTGCCATTATCTTCACATAATCTCTCAGGCCTGGAACAGGAGTCGAAGTGGGCTTTGCCCGAGAAAGAAGATCTTCGGTGAGCGACATCAACAGGTGTCCGGTACTTGACTCCTCGAGTTCAATGACCTTGCCGTCGTCGATGCCCCGCAGGACCATGGTCCCATCGGAGAAGTCCAGGATGGCCTTCAAGCGCTTGAGTGTGGCCACACTGAGCAAGATCGGGGCCTTGCCTTTGTCCAGTGCGTGCACCTGGAGGACTCCGGGACGCCCTCCGGCAGCAACCTGTAGGTGCAGGGTGCTGACGCATGTGTCTTCATCCGAATTGGCAAACCCGAACGTGGGCCGATTGTCCATGTCCACTGAACTGGGAGGCTGACGGCTCAGGCGCATGACCTGCTCCAAGGCATACACTGAGCCCAGACTGCGGGTTGCCCCGCAATCCACCACTGCTTTGCCCTGGTCAACGGCCTCTGCCGTTGTGAGCTTGTTGACACCCTCGTCCTCGGCGAGCATCGCAACCTCGGGGAGGCTTGGTGCTTCATCGTGATCCACGAAACACACGAATGGAGCCATCTGGGTGGTTCCAGATTTGTCCTTCGGCTTGGCTGCTGGGCACACGGCTGCCCGATGGCCAACTTCTCCACATCGCATGCATGTAATCTTTTCATCGCCACGACCCTGCACTCCTCGGTTGCTTCCGCCACTGTAGTATTGCCGATTCAGACGAACTTGCTTTTGGCGATCCCTGGCGTTGCGCAAAGTGCGCTTTGCCTGCTGGACCGCCGCCATGGCGCTCTGAATCTCATCCTCTGCTTCTACCCACAAGGCTAAACCTTCCTCACTCAGCTCCTGGGATGGCTCAAAATTCACCTCATCAGCTTGGTACTCCTCGGCTCCATCCGATTCCCAGCCTTCACCCCAGTATCCCTGCTGCTTCCTATGAGGCTCTCGCCGTTTGAGCTCTGCCTCTGGAAACTGCGTCCTGAGCTCCTGGGCGACACGTTGCAGTGTCAGGTTGCCTTGTAGGGCTGTCAAAACCATATTCCTCTCACTGGCTTCCAGATTGGCATCATTCAGTAGCAGCCATGCCTGAATGAATTCGGGAACGAGTTCCGGCGTACTTGTGGCAGCGGCTCCCTGGGAGCCTTGCCACGCCGTCTGGTACTGTCCATAGCTGTAGCCATACCAGCTTGTGCCATACCAGTTCCAGCTGTTCCACTGCCAATCGCCTGTTGTCGAGTTTCTCGTACTCTGCTCTTCGGCATCACCATCTGAGGCTGTTGGTGCTGCCGGCTGTGTGGGTGGAGCCTCAGCTCCCTCGGGCTCGGTCATCTCCGTGGCGTTGCTAACCCATGACCCGGCACTAAGCCGGCGTCCTTGGCGCGGCCATGAGTCCGCACCTCCCATCCAGCGTTCTGACTGGGAGTCTCCGGTCTCATGATATGGTCGCACCCTTCCCATAGCTTGCTGGGCCCTGACATAAACTTCGCATTTCCTGGAAATGTACTCGTTCATAGTCTCGCCAGATCTGCGCTTTGATCCACGAAAATATCTTCCCAGAAGTTCTGTCAGCTCTGGCATCTGAGGCTTGCCCAAACATTGCCGGAGGTGGTCCAGCAAGCATTCCACACCGCCTGAGTACGAGAGCCAGTCTGGTCTCTTTCCCACAACAAAGCGTTTTGCTGCTCCTTCCAGTGCTCCCTGCAGCTGTGGCCCGCACAGGTACCGCTTCTTGTACTCCACAGTCTGCTCAAACAGCCGTGCCGCTTCCTGGTATGCCTGGAAGGATTCGGACGCTCCGTCCCATGTGGGAATCTTTGCTTTCCCTGCACCAGCATCGCCGGCGCTCATCGTTCTGTCCGAGAGTCGTTGTACTGTCGGACAGCTGTGGTCCCTGGATCTTTGAGCTCTAAGAGCTCCGCTACCATGCAAGCCCCCGGCTTGCTGGTACACGGTCAAGCAATAGAGAGACAGAGGAGTGGTATCGCGTTCCGTATGGCTCTGGATAATCGAGAGGCTGATGGAAGACGCTCGGGCACTCACTTTTGATCACTCGTAGCTGCGAACACCTGACAGCTCACGGTGCGAGTCAGCCAGAACTGTTTAGTTCTTGCAAACCCTAAACCTTAAGCACCCCTTGCCACGGAATGCACCAAACCGTGGTTGATCCTTCAGGGGCTGGCTCTCACAGAGCCCTATAGCATGCAATGACTGCACCAGATGTCAAGTTATCCAAGCGTGTGGCTCGGAACCAAAGGAACCCTTAAAGTAGCCCCTTAAAGGAACCAACGGAGCCCTTCAGCGAGCCCTGAAAGGAGCACCTTATTCAATGAGCCCCTTGAAGAATCCTCAGCGGAACCCTTACCATGACCCAAGGTCTGATATGAGGAGGTATATGGGTCCAAAGTGTATACTATTTGGGTACATGGACCCTTAGGGTTAGGAATTGTTATTGTGATTTGGGTGGTTGTCAAAGTTATGGTGCCTTTTTGGGTCCTTAATATAATACGGCACCTAGTATTTAGGGTACCACCATGGTTTCGACAACCACCCATCTAGGGCTCAGAAGTTTAGGGTGTGGGTTTCAATTCGGGGTTCAAGGTTCACAGAGTTGGTCTTGGGCATAGGGCTTTGAGTGTTGGGCTTAAGGGTTTGGATTTTGGGTTCGGGGCTTAAGATGAAAGATATTCCCCTCTGGCTTGGACTTGTATACAAGGACATCAATATCCGCATTAGGGATGGGTAGCTCTAAAAATAATCAACATTACCGGCACGAACCAGAGGAGCACGCAGAAGAACAGTACTTCGACCCCAAACCGAAGGCGTCCTCATCAAGGGTGGTCACGCTTTGGAGGCCACGGGGTCAGGTATAGGGTCCAGTGTGAACAAAGATGGCTTATCTTAAGCCTTAAGGGCATAATGGTAGGAAGTGTAGGATACCTGATACCTTCTGTGGTATTTTTAGATCCCTTGACTAAAGGGTCCAGGTCTACGTAAGAAACTACGGAAGATCACACACTGTAACGTAAGTCTTAGAGGGTATGGTTCAGGGCTCAGTGCTTGTCAGGTTTAGTACGGATTTCTTTAAGGTCCAGGGTCTATCTTCCAGAGGGTACTTTGAGGGTCATGGGACGTAGTGACTAGGGCTATAAGGCAACTATACGTACAATTACTTATAGCTTAAACCCAGTGTTCTGGTACTTAAAAACTTGCTTACTAAGTCCCATGAACATCTAAGCAGGGCTTTCCAGATTAACAATCCTAGTTTGTGCCATGAATTAGATATCGGTTCGGGAAGCTCTTCATGTCCCCTATTGGTGAATATCGAGCACTACTTTGTTTTATTTGGGGATTCGGGGACTGTTGACTAGGTAGGCCTTTGGGACATTTTACATTTTTCCCTTATTGGGGTTTAATAGGAGCCTATTTACGAATATTTTTCAGAGGCTTTCAAGGGCCAAGCTAGTTGAAGTTTCCACTTAAATTGCCGGTCTTGCCTTTGGGGCGCCGGTCCGGCCTGACCTAAAAGCCCTGACCCTGAAGCTGCAATCCTGGACCCGGCACGGAGCCCTAAACCATCGACCCTAAACCGTGAAATCCATTGCACTTAAAACAACGTGAAACTGAAATCCGAGTTCAAAAACAAGGAACGTATACTCTGACCTGTTTTCCCAGAACTTCCAAATCCCTTCAATGCAGGAGTAAAGCAGCAAACGTGAAGAATCCCAACATGACTTAGGGTAGATCCCAAATCTAAAGGCCGCTGACTTTAGTAGCTTGTTTAAGGACGTCGAACTCTTCCCGAGATCTTTGCCGGATCCATGAATCCAAGCGTAATATCCCCTCCCTACCCACTCTACCCACCAATGTTCTGGCCTACCTTCGCACCGGGCTGCTGACGACAAATCTCGTACCCCCAGGAAATAACTAGGCTCCTCAAGAAGTGTGCCTGGAGCAACAAAGAGAAGGCCAATCGAGAGCTGCATACTGTTTCCAGCCGGCAACATGCTCTGCCATCGGCGGCAGAGGGAGACACTGCCCAGCCAAAGCCAAGGCTCAAGGCCGAGGCGACGGAAGAGATCAACCACTACATCAAGTTTCTCGAGGTTGACAAAGATGGGTTCGCCGAGGGCCCGCTCATCCATGGCAGGGTGAAGCCAAAGCTCGGCAAGGAGTGGCTGCTGCTAGCCCCCTCATCTTGGTCCTAGTTAAGTAACATTGTACATGTTTATGGGTATTTAAACCCAACAAGGAATAAACATGTACATTGTTAATCCTACCCCAACAATGAACTAGTCATTGTCAGTCGTCATGTCTGAAAGCGCAAGAAGCCTAAGGTTCTAAGTATGGGCCCCTACTACGGTTGATGATATAAATCCTGCATTACCTCAAGGACCCTAAACTATGGGAATTATGGTATATTCCTGGATATGGGCAATGCAGGATTTATATCATCAACCGTATGGGCCCGTAGCCCTTTTCACGGACCCCAAAGTCTACATAACGGTATAGGGCAGGTATGTAAGGATCCCAGGGTTACGTGGAGGATCGTGGGACTTACTAAGTATGGCTATAAGTACCTTAATTGGGCTTATAAATAGTTATAAGTATAGTTACCCTAATAATAGCCTTATACTAAGTCCCATGTTCTTCAAGTAAGGGCCCATACCAGGGGCCCAGGGTTTCAAGCTTAGAAGGAGACACCTAGTAGTAGAGTAGGCAACCTTTGACCTTTTTGGGGTAGTATAGTCCCCTATATAACCAAAAAGGTTAACCTTTAGTTCCCCATGATACCCGACAAGTAGGGCCCTAAACCCTAAAACCCTTAAACCCTTAATCCCTAAACCCTAGAGAAAGCTTCATAGACGAGGTGCGAGATTGATTCCACTTCGCTGCCTCTTGCACCACCTGGTCTCCAGAAACACCCCTACCAGCCCCCCTCTGGAGGATCCAAGAAGTAGATCCCTTAATGGTTTAGGGTCTAGGGTTATTTCAAGGTTTTGAGGTCTAGGGTGATTTCAGGGTTTAGGGTTTAGGGTTTCTTAATGGGGGGTTCCTATAAAGTACCCTTAGTAGTATAGGGCCCCAAATTAGCGGATCTACTATCTGGATCCTCCGGGGGTCTGGGTCCTAGCCCCCAAACCCAAAACCTTGGCAGAGTTTCACAGGGATTCGGACAGACCCAGATCACCCCGTAGTTACCCGAAGTTCAATGGGTTTGATTGTTATGGCTTCAGGTGTATAAGTATTGCCTAATTCAGACACTGACCTCTCAAGGAATGGGGGGAGGAACCCTAAACCCAATAAGCCCTGAACACTAAACTCTAGACGCTAAACATCAAAGTCTAAATCCCTAACTTACCTTTGGTTAGTGGGGAATGGAAGAATGGTAGCAACAGTAGTTATAACTCTACCCCATTCCTCCCTTCCCTACTAACCAAAGGGAACCCTAAACACTAAACTCTAGACGCTAAACCGTAAGCCCTAAACCCAAAGCCCTGTACCCTAAACTCTAAAACCCTAAACCCTATACCCTACACCCTAAACCCAAGACCCTAAACCCTCTACCCTGTAACCTAAACCGTAAATCCTATACCCTAACCCCTAAACCCTAAAACCCTAAACCCTATACGCTAAACCCTAAACTCTAAAACCCTAAACCGGCTGAGCTGGCGAGACTCAGTAATAATTGAATAATATTCATAATATAGATATAGTAGGACCTTAATAGTAGCCCTATTATAGACCCTTACTGTATGGGGGCCGTACCTAAGCTCATAGGGATCCTTAGGGGTGTAGGGGGGAGCGGTGTAGGGGACTATATTTCCTTAAATAGGCTTTATTCGTCCTTATTATGGGCCTTAAGGCCCCCTACCCCCCCTCCCCCTACACTCCTAAGGATCCCTATGATAAGCTAAACCGGGTATGCTGGCGAGGCAGCCCACCAGATCGAAGCGGTCGTCTTGGACCGACGGGCCAGCCTTAAGGGGTACTTAGAAATAGTTTTTACTACCCTATAATGAGATATATAATGGGTATATAACAGCTATATTAAGGGTATATACTTAGAAATAATGTTTAATTTTTGGTTATTATAATCCCTAAGAAACAGCTAAAATTAAGATTTGTGCTAGGGTTCTAAGTTCAGTATAGAAGCCCTCAACCACAAACCCCTTGGGACGACCCAAAATTAGATCCCTTGAGAGGGCTTTACGAAGGACTCCTCAACCCTAGCCCGAATCCAAATTATGAGATCTACTTTCTCGATCCTCCCAAATGTCTGGGAACCGCAGCTCGGGCTTAGGGTTCTACGATGCTTCTGCACGTCTTCTATCTATTGTCTCCATTGTAGTTCCTTGTTTGGGTTACTTGGTGGTGTGCTATATGGGTAGTTGTCAAAATTATGGATCCTTTTTGGGTACCCTAAATATTAGGTGCCGTACTATATTAAGGACCCAAAAAGGTGCCATAGTTTTGACCACCACCCATATCCAAAAGAACTGCAATGGAGACTATAGGTCGGAGAGGTATTTCCTGGGGGTCCAAAAACCTAAGGTTTCAGAGCGTTACAGTGAAGAAAGAGGTCATAACCTACGATTTTGTAGGCTTTGGGGCTACAGGTTGGGTTTAGGGTTGTACGAATAGTCTGCCTGTTCCAGGATCCACATTGACATCGGGTTTAGAGCGAAGCCTTTGAGGGGGGGGGGGGGTCGTTCTTCTGGTAAGAAGCCGCCGGCTAGGCCTGAGACGCTATTGTCTAAAGCCATGTCTAGCGGGATGATGGCTGAGGGTGTTTTGAACCCAAAGCTCTAAAGAGTTTGCGACATTGGGCGGCTATTCCCGGAGAGCCCAATACCCCTTAATTAAGGAATATAGCTTAAATCATAATCTGAAGCCCTATATAGTTTAAGCCATATTCCTTAATTAAGGGGCCCCTTGGGCTCTCTGGGTTCCCCAAGATGGCCAAGATCGACCATGCTCAAATAAAGGACCCAGGCCTCCCTGAACTAAACTTAGAGGATCACGGGGTTTCGTACCTGGGGTTATGAATAGGGTGACTATAGTTGTATCTACTGGTAACCCCACTTGAAGGTATTTATAACCGTACTCACCAAGGCCCAAGATCCTGCAAGTACATGATCCTTACGGAAACTGCCGGCGAGAGTGCAAACCCTGAACTCTATATTCTCGTTCATTCGCAGAAGGCCTTCGGGTCTGGGTTTTAGGGCTGAGGACTTAGTGCTCGCATTCAATGGCAGGGCAGAGGTTAGGACACCTTTGGGCTGTAAAACTTGTATGCATCAGGCTTTGGAGCTTAAAGATTCAATCAAAGGGGAACAGGAGGGACCCTTAAGGGGGACCCCTGCCCTATAATGGCCTATATAATGGGTATATAATGGCTATATTAAGGGTATATTACCTAGGGGTCCTTGTTGAGGGTCCCTCCTGTGCCCCTTGGATTCAAGCTTCAGATCCTTCCTGGGTTTAGGGGTTCAAGGCTTTCGGCCTTCAACTCCGTTCACTCTAAGAATGTAGGGTTTTAGGGTGTTGGTGTTGGGGCTTAAAGCTTTATGGGTGTAAGGCAGCGCTGTTGTGAGGTCAGACAATACTTAAAGGATCATGGGACTTAGTAACTAGGGTTATGAATCAGGTAACTATACTTATAACTACTTATAACCCCAATTAGGGTACTTATAACCTCACTTACTAAGTCCCCTGATCCTCCCAGTAAGGAACCCCACGTCTCTTTGTCTTTGAGTTCCGGGTTCTTTGGGTGCAGGACAAGACGGGCACGATCACCGAGGGAAAGCCGCGTGTCACGGACGTGGAGGCAAGACCGAGCAAGACCAAATGGTAGCAATGCTAACGGCATTGTCGCACCAACACTTGGTGTAGGTAGAGGCAGAGGCATAGAGTGCTGCGAGGTCTACGCACATGGCTTGACAAGGACTGAACTTGATCTTCGTGCCGAAGCACTGTCAAGCCTAAACACCAAGCACAACACACTCAGCACCACCACTCTGTACATCCTAACCCTAGACTCAGAAGCCAAGCCCTGAACTTTTGTCCGGCGCGCACCCTGACATAATGTACAGGTCTCAACAATGAGTAAGTAGCAGTCTACGCTGTCACAATCCTTACATAGTTGTTTTTCATCTGCTCCAAAAACCCCATTCTTCAATCCTTGCAAAAAAACCTGCAATCGAATCCAGGGTCCACCCTGGAAAGCCTGGGGCTGTTGGATCTTTCATCCACTCAGCTCTTGGTTGCCTTTGTTCATGCTTTTCATTGTCCCTTTTTTGGGGGAGGGTTTCCTTTAAAGTAGTGCTAGGATCCCTTATACTTTACCTTAAGGGCTGAGTAGAGCGAGGAGGTAAGCTGCGTCAGGTCAATGGCAGGGAGTAGGCCTGGTATCAAACGGAGCCTGGAAAACCAGGGTACAGCATACCAGACCGCTCCATCACGTATCCACAGCACAATGCCACTGAAACCCCACTGAATTCGTTCAGGCTTTTCTGTGGGTGATTCTCACGCCCGAAGTTGCCAGGATGTTTCAGCATGACACCCCCGAAACCATACATTGAGGGGTCCACGTGGGTTTGGAGCGTTTAGTCGCAGATCTTCCCTTGGAAGGTGTTGTGTCGCGATGACGAGGCCTGGGACACATGATTTGACATACACGCTTTAACTGAATAGAATACTGCTTGATAATATTGAGAAACCCTCAGGCACAGTTTGGTAACACATGCTAAGTGTTCAGGCTTGTATTTTTTGGAAGCTCAGCATGCATTTCAAGGATCTCGGACACATGTTGCTACATGTTTTGCAAGTCCAAAGCCCTCAGCTGCTAGAGTTGGTACAGTAGCAGACGGACATGGAGAATCCTAGCAGTTATTGTAGCCACCAAGTTTTCAGAACCATACCCTACTCCAGAAGTAGTACCCTTTCAGATCAAAACTGTTCGTGATGAAATATTCAGGATTTGAGGGTGCTGGATTATTGGGGTTTGAGAATGTTTGAGGGACTGTGGGGCCTTAGCCAGCGGTCACCCATGCCTCAACTAAGGAGGGGGATTCAGGGTTGAGGGTTAGGTGGGTTTAGGGTTTAGGATTAAGGGTTGAGTGTTTTTTGTTGGGGTTCTTATGCATCTTGGCACACCTTGCCCTACTTACAGCCCTACCCTGCGTCCGCTGATGCTTGAAGTCTGGAATCCCGGAGTTGCGATCACGGGGCTTACCCAGACCCCCGAAAAAACCTAGAAAGTAGATCCCCTAATTTGGGGCCCTATACTACTAAAGGTACTTTGTAGGAACCCCATTAAGGGAGCTACTTGTTGGATCCTCACGGGGGTCTGGATATGATGAACATAGGGTGTGTGGGGTTTAATCGACACTTACAAGATGTTGAACATCTAGGGCCCATAGGAAATTTTCAGTGCTTGGTTGGTAGTTGCTTCGACGTGTAGAGCTGTTCGTGTTTAAGTTTGAGAGACCATGCAAATCCCAACCGTCTCGATCCCGAGCCCTAAGACCTCAAGGTACCCAGACCCCCACATGAAGCCTGCAACCTCTGAAGCTTAAACTCTAAAACCCTACACAGCCCTGAGCCCTCTGAATCCCTGAACCTTGTACCCGAAATCCTATAAAGCCCTGACCCCTGCAAACCTCTTATATCGCTTCACCATCCTAACCCCTCAACCCGAAACCCTCCTGAACCAGGATAGCTTTCAAGCATGCCCAGACCCCCTTTTGGAGGATCTAGAAAGTACATCCCCTAATTTGGGGCCCTATACTACTAAGGGAACTTTAAAGGAACCCCCATTAAGGGATCTACTTTTTGGATCCTCCCGGGGGTCTGGGTGCAGGAATCTCCGATGGGATGCCGCGCAGAAGTCAGTGTATACTGTATCCCTTCATTCGGGGACCTCGCGATCTTGAAGTCTGCTTGCTCACTCACATGTTCAAATTTGGGCGGTACAGGCTTCTTATAGGTCTTTCTGCTTTAAAGCAGGGTTCTCTAGAAACCCGCATGGATCCCTGCAAAACGCGATGTAGGAAGCTCTGAACCGGCGAAACCTAAACGCGAATCTATGCACCCTATAAAAGCTCCATAAATTCCCTACTAGTGCACAAAATCTCTTCACAACATTCTTGCTATCTGAATGATAAACCCTAAACCCTAAACCCTAAACCCTAAACCCTAAACCCTAAACCCTAAACCCTAAACCCTAAACCCTAAACCCTAAACCCTAAACCCTAAACCCTAAACCCTAAACCCTAAACCCTAAACGACGTCAAAGTATCCCCGAGGTTTCGCTCACCAACCTTCGCCAGCACCTTGCATCGGCGGGCGCTCCGACGACCGGGCGCCGGGGTGGTTTGAGGTTTTACAGGGTTGTGTAGGGGTTGTGCAGGGGAAGGTGGGAGTTCAAGGTTTTGTACTCATTTGTGTGTGTGTACAGTAAACCCCAGAAAGTTGGAAACCGGATTAAGGCCAAATAGTGCTGGGATTCCCTATACATTACTCTTAAGGATTGAGGCTATGGGGTTTCCAACTTTTGGGCTTCTCCTGTATGCGTGTGTGCATGTGTGTCGGACGGGCCTGGATCCGTGCAAGGTTTTTACTTGGAGGATCATGGGACTTAGTAACTAGGGTTATGACAGTACGTATAACCGTACTTGCGACGTCCTAAGATCCTCCAAGTAGGGGCCATAAAGGTTGGGGCCCTATGTGGAGAGTCTGGTTGTCTGTAGAGTTTGCCGATGAGACCTGTGGCGTTGTCGATGTGGCTTGCTATTTCGCTCGACATGCGACAGTTTGAGGCTATAGGGTGCTCTACTGTAGGCTTCTGCGACTGTCTAAGGTTTCATAGAACTGAAGTCTTTCAAAGGGTAAAAGGAGGGACCCCGAGGTATATACCCATAATATAGCCATTATATACCCATTATAAAGCCCATCATAGGGTAGGGGTCCCCATTAAGGGTCCCTCCTTTTCCCGTTTGAGTCTTACAACTGGTATTGGGTTGCGAGTGTTGATTTTCCTTCAGTCGAGTTAGGATGTGCTTGGAGGATCATGGGACTTAGTAAGTAAGGTTATAAGTACCCTAATCGGGATTATAAGTAGTTAATTATTATAGTTACCCTAATAATAGCCTTAGTTACTAAGTCCTATGATCCTTCAAGTGGGTATCTTGGTTTACTTGGGAGTATTTGCAGGGTCATCAGACTTAGCAAGTATGGTTTTGCACGTACCTTCTTTGGAGTCTTGAGTAAGCAATGTTGACTATAGCTACCTTGTTATACTCCCACTTACTAAGACCCACATATCTTGGTATACTTAGGAGTACTTGTCAGGGTATAGTCGTTGCTGTCGGGAAAAGAGTATTACGAAACCAGATCCTTGATCTAATTATCGAAACCTCTAAGCTTGGAAGCCCCAAGACCCTGAAAATAGAATTAAAACACACCGCTCTAAACACTTCCAAACTCTAAACCGCTAAAGCCTAGCTTCCTAAACCTCAACACCCTAAAACCCAAAACGCTATATCCCGAGAACCCCCAAAACGTAAACCCTTGTAGTGCCCTTGTAGAACCCTTTAAAGGGACCCGCAAACCCCAAAATCCTGCTGACGTAGGTTAAAGGACACGACCGCCCGTGATCGCTTCGTAGGATTTAGGGCTGGAGGGCTTGAGGGTTAAGGATCTTAGGCTTTAGGGCTTTGAGCTTAGAGTTTAGGGTTTCAAGGTCTTGGGCTGTGGCGTTTCAGGTTCTAGGGCCTTAGGATGGCTCTTGGATGTACGAGCTAAGGGTTTTCAGGGCTGACTAAGTCCACGGAGGCCTACTGCCCTCGCGTCCACGGCAACCCCATTAGAAAGCCAGGGCATGAGTTCCGACGAATGTCCCTGAGTTGGTTTACGGCATGGTGGTACTTAGTAACCTTGCAAGGAACCCTAGTTTAATCATCAGGGCCCCAATACTGGGCTTGTGTTAAGGAATATAGTTTAAGGTACCATAATAGGGCTTTTTCTTGCAGGTAGTAGGGAAAAGAAAATATGGTAGCTTAATCTAAACCCCTTAACAAGATCTCCAGAAAGTTGGAATATGGATTAATGGTAGGATCCCCTATAATTTACCTTAAAGGGGTTACGATAATGATATTCCAACTTTCTAGCTTCTACTGTAACAAGATCCCAGCATAGAACCCGCCAGACCGGTGGCGACTTCATTGCCTTTGCTCCTCCTGGCTGGGAGTGCGGAACGAGGTCGGCTTGGTAGTGCCTGGTCCCACAACCCCAAACCCTTACTATACGGGCCCCTCAGAACAACCTATGCTGTTTTGTGGGTGGGTTCTTACCATAGTTATAGTATAATGGGCTCCAAAGCCCTATTCTAACTATTAAGGCCCCTAAGTTAAATCGAAGTTCAATCGTATTGGAGTATACCCATGATACCGCTGCTTATCCGGTTCGCCCCGCTCCAGACCTAACCCTCTTCACTTTTGACCTAGACCACTAAGCCCTCGACCGGAAACCGGCCACCCTTCCATTCGGGAGTTTCCGAAAATTAAGGGTACCTTATTTTGGGTACTTGTGATCCGGATCCTCCTATTTCAGATACTAGATTAGGGTCGTCCCGTATTTTCGGAAGCCCCCGTTTCAGTCTACGACATCGCAGGAAAACCCATACGTAACACCTTGCAGGGACCTAATCTACACCCAATTGAAGGCGAGTTTCAAGAATCCCACGACTTTCTGGTTCTTAGTAGGGAATGGGGCTCCTTTACGGGATGCTATAAGGGTTATATAAGGGTTGTACTACATATAGGGGTTTAGGGTTCTTAGTAAGCTGTCTGGTTCTTACTAGGGAATGGGGGGAACGGATCCCCAAACTAGTCCTTATAAAATCCCCAATAATAGTCCCCATAATCCATTCCCCCATTCCCAGAAAAAAAAACCAGGGAGTCTTTCGTAATTAAACCCGCTAAGGAACCCCAGAAGGAAGCCATCCAAAGCCCCACACATGCTTTTTTCGTAAGTACACAAACTAAGCCCTAAGCCACCCTAAGCCCTAAATCCGTTATGAAACCCTTCAAGCAAACCCCGAAAGGAAGCCCACGCCACCCTACACCCCGAATCTCTTATGAAACCCTCTAAGGGAACACCAGAAGCAAACTAAGCCCTAAGCCACCAAGGAAGCCCTAAGCCACCCACACCCTGAATCCCCTATGGGTCCCTTTAAGGGAACCCCAGAAGGAAGCCCCAAGCCACCCTACGCCCTGAATCCCTTATAGGACCCTTGCCAGAAGGGGTCCAGAAAGTAGATCCCGTAATGGGGGTTCCTATAAAGTACCCTTAGTAGTACAGGGCCCCAAATTGCGGGATCTACTTTCCAGATCCTCCCGGGGGTCTGGGTAAGGAAACCTTAGAAGCAGTCAAAGCCCCAAGCCATTCAAAGTCCCCATAATATAGGGGCTTAAATACCATTCTTATTATTAAGGCCCCTATATCCAGGAAGCGAGCATCCCTTGGGCCAGGCAGTCGCGCAGGCAGCCGGGGAGGGCTTCGGGGGTTTAGGGGTTTAGGGTTTAGGGGGCTGAGGGGTTTAGGCTTCAAGGTTGCTTTGGGTTTGGTTTAGAAGAGGTTTAGGTTTCAGGGTTTGCTGCTTTGGGTTTGGTTGTAGAGTTTTGGCTTCAGGACAAGAGGGTTTCGGCTTTGGTTTTAGGATATGAGGGTTTTTCGTGGTGTCAGGATTTGCCGGTTTAGATTTGGTTTTAGAGTTAATTTAGGATTTAAGATAAAGGGTTTTGAGTTTCAGGGTTTCAGGGTTTGGTGACTTGGTATCTTGGGCTGCTTATTCTGTAAAGCTGTACTCTTCAGGGTTCTATGAGGGTACCATAAAGGTTTGGGTATGGGGGCTGAGTGTCTAAATAGTGAAGGTCTTTTGATTTGGGTTTTATTTTTCTAGGCTTTCGCTTTTTCGGTTCAGGATTGCGGCTTGAGGTTTTGGGAAGTCTGGGGATTGGTGGTTTGGGTTTAGCATGCAGGGATCTGAGCCTTTTCACAGGGCTTGACAAGGCTGTGAAGCCACAATCCCTCTTCTTTCAACAGGATTTTAGGGTTAAGTTGAGGGTTTCGGACCCTACAGTAGAAGCCAGAAAGTTGGAAAGAATCATCGTAAATCAATGTTCCAACTTTCTGGGGTTCACTATAGACCCTAGACCAAAACGCATCCCCTCCACATGCAGGAGGCCGAACGTCTCCTAGCCGATCGCGGAGCTCCTTCCGTAACGGACTCGGTGCTTCCTGCAACTGTGGATGTCGGTTTCGGCCGGCTAGTCAAGAGGTGGTGTTTTCAAAGGACTGTATGGTGCCTCAAACACTCTGCTTATCGGTGTTTTATTTGTCGGAAATGGTGCTAGAGTTTTCTTGATGAAGACTTTCGAAAGGGCTTAACTACCGCCTTATCCCAGTGGTGCTATCGTGGGATCCTTATGAAAATGACGAAAAAACCCTAAACCCTAAACGGATCACGGGTATCCTTGTTTGTAAGCGGTCATCGAGGCACCTAGGTGATCCGGCCGTTTGAACGGGTCTTACAGTTGCGAGTTTACGGTTTGCGATTTGTGAATTGCGCGATGTCAGTGTCTTGGTGGCTGGGGGGCTGCAGATTTTGCTACAGGATCCTACAAAATCATGGGTTTTAGTGTTTCCTTGATGCCTACGTAAGCATAGTATAGTGGATCGCCAAGCCTTGCTCAAAGTATTAAGGCTCATAGATGATGGAGTTGGTTTTTGTGGCTTCAGGATTGCTTTGGGGTCTAGTGGTGGTGGCGCCTGGGGTTGATTTGAAAAGTTACGAATCCCGCGTATACGTATAGTGTAAGAAGTCATCAAAACGATACTCTGATTATTACGACCCGAAGAGAGTACTTGTAGAACCACGGCCTGCCTCCACATCAGTTCTTGTAGAAGTAGCACAAAGATAAACTATCGAAGTCTCCACCCTCTCAAGCGACACAACCTTGAGAAGCTGTTGGTTTGGAGTATTTTAGCTCCAAGGGAAGGCCTTAGGATTGCAGGGTTTCCGGCTTCAGTTCCCGGCTTGATTTTTTTTCAGGGTTAGGGTCGAAATCCTTGGGTAGTTGGCGTCTTGCTTCAGGTGTCAATCTTTAGGGTGTGCAGTTGAAGGTTCCCAAGACAGCTGCTTAGGACGTACCTTAAACCTGTGTCTAGGAGCACAGCAAAACAAGCAGACTCTAATCCTTAAAACCCTCGCACCACCACAAACGTCGTTTGTTTTATTGCACGTGCATTTCGTTTGTAAGGAGTTTCAGGACTCAGATTCGAATTCCGGTCTGAAACCCCGCACCCTTTGGCTTCCTGAGGTCAGGGTGGCTGTTGTGTATGTAATGTATCAATATACTACATAGTCTTATTACTTATGTTGCAGTCTGATGAATTATTGGTCTCATGTAGTATTACAATTATAGCATTATTGTACTAGCGAACTTTGGTCTGCTATGGAACATCCCTCGGACTGCAGTGCTCTCCAACAGTTGAAACCTTGCAGTATACCCTGGAAAGCCCTGTGCCAAAATAAATCTTCCGAAATCGTAACCACAACTTACCGCGCACAAGATCCCGATATAAGTTCCTCTTCCATCTTGAAAGCAAAAAGCCCGATAGGAAGATTCTTGCGATTCCGTCACATAATCAAGCAACAGCCTTTCATGCTTTATGAACTTGCTTCTCAAAGCCCCAAAGCCAAAAGCAAACACCAAACACTCTTTTCGCAGCGAAGACAGTGCACACCCGCGGTTGCCCTTATCAATGGCAGTTCAGGTCTTTGAAGTCCGTGCAGGCACGCGAGGCCCTGCAACCCCTGAACCTCACACCCTGCACTCCCGACCCCTAGAGTTTGAAAACTACACAGTCACTACGAAAGTCAACACACCATGCCCGTCCAAAAAAACGAAAGAAGAAGAGGCTCTGGTTGAGCCGACCACCTTCCGGGCTTTGCCGGGGCGCGGTCTCGAGGCTACGGAAGTGGGTGGGTTAATCGGCTTCTTACCGGGATAGTACATACAACATATTCACATATGTAGATATAACACCTGTGGGTATTGTACCTTAAGGTGCGGTCTAGGACTGGGCTTTACGCTTCAGCAACAGATACCAGTAACTTGTGGGGCAATTTCTATTCTCTCCTGCAATAGCCAGGCCATAAACACTTGAGCCCGCCGAATGCGGTCCAAATGCAACCTGCACTCTGAAGCTTTCAGCTCCGAGCCCCAAACCCAAAGTCTTTGCAAATCCCCATTGGGCCACTCCTTAGCGAACCCTTATATTCGCAACCCCGTAATTTGAGGCCTCTGTTCTGGAGCACCAAGTGCTCATCGGCAACATGGCATGGATGGAGGCTCCTCGTAGCCTGCTCCTGATAGGGCTGAAGTTATTTCGAGTAACAGGGGACTTACTACCTACAGGTGATAACCCGAGTTATAAGTACCCGTATTGGGCTTATCTTACATGTCAAAAGGAGATTAGGCAAGGGTATCCCACACTAGCTTCCGCGTAGGAAGTCCTGAAGGCTCTGCGGTGGTTTCCTTTTTATTGGTTTTCCTTGTTGTGTCACGACCTTCAAAGAGTGTTGGATTCCTGCAGCTGCCTCCTGGCACCATTGATCTCCTCATCCAGGAAGAGCCATAGGGTGCTGCTCAGCTCTTTAACCCGAGGCAGCACTGTTTATAGCAGCAGTAGGTGCCACAGCGATTCATTATTGTTGTCATGTCCAGTTCTTGTCATAGCTGTTCTAGCACAGCCGCGACGGAAGGCTACACCCTAAACTCCAAAGCCCTGAGCTCCAAAAGCCCTGAGCTGAGTACATGTGGCCAAAAGGATTTCGGTGACATTTCTTAATGGTGGATGTCACTCCCAGCAGCGCGCTGCTCACCCTGATTCGGGTTTCGGCCTGAAGGTTTTAAGGCTCATGGTCATGGTTTCCAAGTTCAATGTTTTGGGAGGCGATTCAACCATTGCATTGCAGGTTTTGGCGTCAGATGTTTCATGACTGTCGACTTGCCGTTGTGTTGCTTTACAACAGAACCAACATCTTGCGCTCATGGTTGGCTCACTCCAGCGTTGGCCTAGCTTGACCCACAAAGCTGTTGCTGCAGCTCAAAGGAACCTCCTGCCATGGACGGGCTTCTTTTACACCGCTGTTTGGTTGATGGTGTGGCGATTCCCTGCCTGGCGTGGCAACCGATGGAGCATGTCTACCGTCATGTCAGGTCCCAAGAATTTTTCAGGTTAGTCCATGGTCCCTGAATCGTCTGGACCGTCTGAAGCATAGATACTCAGATTCTTAGGTGGGCTTCGCATCAAAGTTCGGGACCTTCGGGACCTTCGACCCAGAGCCGTGAGAAGATCTGCCGTGTAGCCCATTAGGCAAGACTTGACATTTTGGGGCAGGCATAGATAGAAACCTACTGCAATTCCCCAGACACTGCGTAGCACTATGAGATGCATCAGTGACGGAGCCCACGGCTTCGACAGCAATAATCAATAACTCTCTTCCTCCTGCCACAGTGCCTTGCGTGTTCTCGCAGTGCTTGCGAATTCATTTTGGACTCATGCCGTGGTCTCGGGAGCCTCATGCAGAGCTGCTCCAGGAATGGTACTTGGGTATGCGGGGGGTTAGGACCTTATTGAGAAGACTTATTGGCAAGTATGGGATTTCGTCCGACAAGCAGTTTGACAAGACTATATTGAGCTTCCACGACGAATTTGGGGCTCGGGGGGTGACGCGTTGCACATTACAGTCCCCCTGCACCTGAGAGTTTTCGATCGCACATAAGTTTCTCATGCTATTTGTCGTCCTGGCACGGCCGGTCACACTATTGGCCCTCTGGAGCTCGGGCCTGCTGTGTCGAATCATTTGCGTTATGTAGGGTGGGTTTTCCGGCACAGGGGTGGTGCCCTCAGAACGCTCGCGGTGTCTAAAGTCATTGATCCGCAAGAGTTTGGAGCTCGGCGCAACCCTCAGATTTCGGCCCCCAGCGCAAAACGCTCTCATTCCTCAGCGTGTTTAACATTTCGATTGTTGCCTCATGACGCCATCTATTTGGATGCCCTTACCGTGCAATCATGATATTGTGTTGCTATTAGTTCATGCGTCGTCGCCACTGCCTTTGCCCTTCATACCTTGGTTGATCCTCCGCATCCAAACTTCGAACCCTAGATGCTAGGACGCCTAAGAATTTCGTCCTGAGCTTTTCTTTGCAGGCTGATCTGTTAACAGCGCTGCAGTCGGCGATGCCGCGGGCACATCGAATCGCAGAGAGCCTGTGTGCCGAGAAGATCAAAGTACTGGCGGCTGTGGATAGTCCTCAGAGCCAAGTCGACACTCGTTCACGCATCTCGTCGCCAGCGACTTCAGTTCGGGATGTCAGGCAGTCTCCACTTGATTGTCCGAATGCTTAGTTGGGATGCCAGAAGCACAAGCAACAACTCACAGGAGGGCTCCATCCTGTGCATAAAATACATGCCAGACACAAATCCGACAACCTCCGCATCGAAGAAGCTTTCGCTTCCTCGTCAGTGGTCCAAGCGTGGATCCTAGCAATATAGAGAGTCTAATGATATACAGAGGCTTATAAGGGCTTTACGAGGGATTTTAGGCCCTATGTTATGATAGGAAATCCGGTGTAGGCAAACGGCCTGAACAATTAGAATAAGGCTTTAGGACATACCATAAGATAAGTGGACAAGGAACCCGATTAGGCCCAGAAAAAACCGTTTACGATTTCGGGTTCAGGGTTTGGTGTCCGAGAGTTCTTCAAAAAGGTTTTGGGCTTTCTTCGACAGGGAGGGGCAGGGCGAGGATCTCCGAGCATGGTCTCTTGTTCAGAGCTTTGTTTCAAATTGATTCCGTCCGGGCCTTCGGGTGAACAGCAGTGCACTATTTCTGGAAAGTGATGAGTTCAAGCCCACGCGCCCGCGACAGTGCAAGGAAGCCAATACCTGCGCGTCCTGGAGCAAGTCGAGAAGGTGTCTGATGTGCCGCAGCATGCATGGGATTCAGGACATTTTCACGTGGCTGCTGCGTGGAGCGACTCTCGCATGGGGGCAGGCGGTGCTTGGAACGTTAAAAATCGAACCGCGACTGCCAAGCTTGCATTGGCTTTGTCGGCATCTCAGCAGCTTCGCAAAGAAGAAATCGCAGCAAAGCTGCAGTGGCTTGACGAGGAAGGTGCCGAGTCTCTTCGAACACAACTTACTAGGCTTATCGAGAAATGGCAGACGTTGTCCACAACCCGTGGAGAAGCAGAGAGCGAAGCAGACTCTTGGTCCTGAGTTCGGCAATACCATGCTGTCAAGTTTAGGGAGTCTTATACACCGTAAGTTTGTATCATTGTGACTGTTGGTTCTTTCGCGGCTGGCGTTCGGGGTTTGTCTTCGTTCAGCGTTTTACGGTTTGGGGTTAAGGGTTCCAGGCCGTTGAAAGTCGTACTTTTAGAACTTCATGGTCTTGGTTGCGATACAGTCTACGACCGGAGGAGAAATTCGTGTAAACAGTCTAAACCATGGTGTCCTGGCTGGGGTTTCGGGGCCACAGAAGTCTTGCGGAGTCTCGCCGTGTGGCGAGCAGCCACGAGTCGTAATACTCTTTGAACGCAGCATGCCTTTAGCGTTTAGGACCATTACCACTTTTTCTGACTTCACACAGGTTACTGAGTTCAAGCATGTTCGGCTTTCTCTGGCAGTTCGGGCCTGCGAGGCCTCTGGGGCCTCGCCAAAGGCTCGCCACGAGCAACAAAGCGCGAACAGGTTCTGCATGCCAGCCACCGCGACCGCTGCAGCCTCTTCTGAAGGCGGAATCAACAACGGCAATGCAACCCGGAATGCGCCTGAAGGGACAAGGTAGCGTACCCGGAAGCATTACTTGTGCTGAGGAGCCTCGAAGCCCTGGTCCCCGAATTCAAGTGCAAGGTCGCTGCGAGCTGCACTACGTGTAGAGTTATGTACATGAACATGACACAGTAGTATTAATAATTACGCCCGCGGCTCGCGGACCGGCTAGTGTGGCAAGGTCCTACAGTTCAGCCGTGGTCCGGTGCGTGGCCACCCTCACTCGGCGTGTTCGGTTCGTCATATTAGCTCAAAAAATCCACCTCACTTGGCGTTTCCGGTTCATCATAGATCTTAAACGCGCCCCCACATATTAGATTCCGGTTCACCAGGTATCTTAACAAGCAGTTTTAAGCATGTATTTTAAACACGCCCCATCCAAGCAGTAAATACGGTAACCCTTTTCTGGCATGGCTCCCCTGTGCAGGCCAGCAAAACACGGCGGCTGCGACACAGCCAAGCCGGAATCTCTATGAAGACGACACTTGGGATGAGTCTATGGGACAGAGGCCGACGCCGCCAACGGGGAATCCTTGTGGCACGCAAGAACCTCGGGCCGAAGCACAGCAGCCGTCCCAGGCTCACCACGTGTAAAAATCTCAACCTTCAATGTCCTTAAACTGCGCGATGGTGAAAGCCTATGTCATCTCAGGCGGTTGCCAATCCTGAAGCGCATCAACCAGACGCAGAGCTTTTCAAGACCGGTCGGCAAGACGCTTCTGGGAAGGAAAAGATTCAGTAAAAGATCATGTGAGAGTGGGTTGTGTCTGGCCTTAAGTTTATTTTTTCTGCAAGTCGTTGTGCATTGCCCGAACAGTGATCAGGTTGTATGGGGCCCGACAACTTTTGAGTTTACCAAGAGCCTCGGCAAAGTGAACACACAAGTGGCATGGTGCCCGGGGGCGTTCCTGGCCCTCGGTGAGGTGGTGTGCGCGGACCAGCCTCTTGACTGGCCAGACAAACTCAGAGCACCGCTTCAAGCAGACCACGCTTGGAACACATGTCAATCTGCATGGATGTTTCCAGCCATTCTTGGCGAGTGTTTTCTTAGCTTCCCTGAGCCACAAAAGCATTCATGAATTTCATGACTTTGATCTAATGATTCTAACGGGTTTGTCAGCAGCACAGGTACATCATGATGGAGGCTCAAGTTGTAAATCGGGCCTTTCAGCGAGCACCTCTGAGAATGGGCAGCGGGAACGAGTTCGATTTCCCACACATGACCCTCGTGAAGCTTGAATGTGGAGAAGCACTGCGCAGACATGACGACACTTTCTGGAAGAGCGCCATCAACGACGTCGAGATCAACGTCACAAGCATGCTCACGAAGCTGAACCACAGTATCAAGTGCACCGGTCTCCCCTTCAGATTGACAAGTACCAATGTTGCGCAAGACTGGTGGGCAAACCGCTACAACATCACAGGCCGTGTGGGAATAGGCAGACACTCCGCAACTGAAGCCAAGAGGTGTGTTCAATTCCGGTGGCTTACTGTAGGCATGCTGCATCG